AGGATAGCAAGATCCTCGGATCCAGAAGCGTTTTCGGACGTAGAGTGAAATGAAATGAAATGAAATAATGATACGCGGCGGTGAGGTGAGTTTAGTGAGGGATGGCATGGCATGGCATGGTATATTCGAGTGGTGGAGGGCGTATATAGTAAGAAAGGAGGTAAATTCGGAGGAGGAGAAGAATCAGGTTTTTTGTGAAAGATACAGGGTCGTGTGATTCGGGAGATGTCACTCACTCGGATCTAGGGAGACATAAGAGGGGGGGGGGGGGCTAAACATTTTTAGAGATAAGAGGTGACCCATCCATATCTAAGTTTTTTTTTTTTTGGTAAAGTGACGAGTTTAGCTTTTAAACTCTCATGGTCTATCTAGTAGATGATGATGATGATGTCAGATCGCCATCGCCAATCATTGCGCCATATACGTATTTCTGCGTAGAAAAAACGAAGGAACATCCCGTTCTTCGCAGTTAGCGTCTGGAAGTTACGAGTAACATACACCGAAAGCGGTGATTGCCAAATCGAGCGAGGAACCGATGACGTGTTTCGCTTGCCGGGCCGGGTGACCAATCAGTGAAAAACGCCATTTTCAAACTGCTGGGCAGTTCTACTTGGGGGGGGGGGAGCACATAAATCCATGTTTATTGTCAGATGTCGAAACATGCTGTTGGTTATTTCCCCATCTTTCTGATCCAGGTGTGAAAAAAAACCTTCGATAGGAACCTACCAGTGGCAGAGTCCCTGCACCTAGTAGCCTTACCAATACTGTTCATCCAAGGATACACTTTGTAATCGGTTTCCAAGGCAAATTGGCTCCACCAACACAATACTCTTATCAACACGCCGCCCGAACAACCCGGGGTTGACATCCTCAATGTTGCGTATGATGGATGGTAAAAGAAACCCGCTGTGACCGCCAACAAGGATTGATTCTTTCTCTGATAAGAAATTTCGTAGGATATCATCCCTGCATGTCAGCCAGCCAATGTTCCCTCATGCTCAGGCGTAGAAGATACAGCGAGCGATATACCCATTCGCCTAGAGAATTCGATTTCTTACACGGTTCCGCACCGCAGATATCATATTTGCGAGATCTTCAAGAACACCAGGCCAGGCGTCTGTCTGGCCCTGTGCTTGTCAGACCCTGCCCGCCTCGGTTCAACTGGAGCCAGCGAGAGATTGGAAAGAAGTGATGGGGATGTTATTTCAACAAAAGGTATGTATATATGCAGTGGTCATACTCGGCACATTGACATCATAACACTTGTATGAGCACAAGAAAAACCGGGGGAGAAGAACACGTCAGTCCCTTACTATCTCCCAGATGCATGCATCATCATTACCTAGCGAATACAGGTCATCAGCCTCATTTCGATGCTGGGCTCGGAGGGGATGTAGGGAATGCCCCACACGTTCCAGACATGCAGCTTTCCGTTCACCGGGCGTTTCTTCTTTGACGTCCTCGTTGACACCGTACCCGTACCTGTTGTACCCGTCGTAGCGGTCATCCGCTCTGCTGCTGCAGTCGTGGTCCTGTCGCTCGCATCATTTTGTTGCCCAAGAGTTCGAGTCACTTCACTCATGGCAGGAGCAGTCCCACTGGCAGAAGCCACCACCGCTGGAGAAGCACTAGCACCCACGGTCGTGGAGGTGGCAGGGGCCCGTCTCCTAGGGGCAGCTGGTGTTGCTGTCGTGGCCCTTCGGGATGGAGTAGTGGCTATATCTGTCGTAAGGGCGGTCCGTCGTCTGGGCGTGTTAGTATCAGTCGCTACGCCAGTTCTTCGTCTCGGTGCAACAACTGTGTCTGTCGTGGCCAGGGCTATTGTCCCAGACGTGGTGGTGCCCTCCGCCGTCACAATAGCAGCAGATCCGGCCGTCATAGGGGCGGATTCTGTTGTAGTGGCATTTCTCGCCGCCCTAGCAATGGCCGCAAGAGCCGCCTGAACAGCATTAGCAGCCGCAGCAGCCGCGATATCCTCCTCAGTAGGTGGAGGATTCGCCGGCGGCCGCGGAACTGCCAAAATAATCTTCGTCTCGTCTCTATTCATGACACTCCCGCAAACGCTTCCTCGCACGTCATCGCTCATCGACACATGATGGACCTCGTACAGACTCGGATAATGATGAGATACAACTGTATTAGTTTTCGGGATCTCGCCATGTTCAGAGGGGTTATATTTGGACGTTATCTCACCGTGAACGGTGAGGAACTCTTTAACATTGTAGGACCAATGAATCGAGACGACGCGCGTCCCGTAATCCATTGTTTGGCCAGGAACGATGTCGGATATAGGAGAGGTGGGATCCACTAGCCACGCGCGTGTTAACCCATTTTTGTCACCAGCTGCGAAGAGTTTGGAGTTCCATGGCGACCAAGATATGGCCTAGTCAAGTTAAGATAATCAATACAGGGTGCAATTGAAGCGATAGGGTATAACTTACAGTGATCGGCGCACCATGCTTGATTTCCTTCGGATAGCTTTCACTTCTGAGTCTCCTAGCAGACTCTGGAACGAGACCTACGTGCATCGGCTGGTTAGTCTTTGCATTCCAAACTAAAACATTCCCGTCAACATCTCCACTGGCGAACATATAGTTGCTGGTGTTAAAGTTGTACGCGATCCTCGTAACCATGGCTTTGTGGTATCTGGCCACCTTTGTACCCTTCTTGATCTTGTCTTTATCCAACCGCGTATCGTAATGCCTTATGCTACCTTCAGCATTACCGACCGTCAACACTGGTCCATTCCAGGCAAGGGCAGTAGGCTCCTTCATTGAAAAGCTGACAAGTTTCTGCATCATCTTGATATCCCAGATCTCGATCACTCCGGCGCGAGAGGCTATCGCGATCGACTCTACACCCTCCGGGCCAAACGCCCCGATGGCCATGGCGGTAAGGTTGCCATCTTTGACCTTGCACAATTGGGTGGCAACATCATTTGACGACAGCTTCTTGTAGAAGATGCGATTGCGGCGGGGGAAAAACAAAATGTTGTGCTTGGAACACGCTAGGGCGACTGCAAGATTATCGTCGAAGGGAGTTGGGGGATTGAAGTCGATGGTGACGTCGCGTTTCTGAAGGTGGTGTTTCGCTGACGCGGCATGTAACTCGGGAGGGCCAGAAGATCGGAGAGACGAGACTGACTGGCTGCGAGAGAGAGGAGGGCGCACGGGGCTTGGGTTTGTTGCATTCAGTTTCTCGCGAAACGTTTTACTCTCCCAAATTGTCAATTCGGGATTGCGAGTGCTAGTGCGAGAAGAAGAGGTGCTGCCATACTGTAGTGTAGAAACCTGTCGTTATCCGGACAGACAACTCATACAGTGGCGAAACTTACGAGATCTTGAAATGTAGTGAAAGAAGCACTGTGTCGAAGCGAATGTGAAGAGATCGAAGGAAAACTGGTTAACTGACTGCGAGAAGATGTCGGTGGCAAGTCATGCGATGGATTGGATGCTGGGGCCGGCGGTGGCAGCATCGATAGGGAGGCCGCGCGTGAATGAGCAGAAAGACTTGAAGTGAGAGGACGTAGCATCCTCTGCCTCTTCTTGTCTGCCTCTTCTTCGAACTCTGGACTCGGGGACCGGCGTCGTTTAAAGCCGCTAATAGATTCGCTACCATCGAAAGGACGACGAGGTGTTGGCAAAACGGACTGGTTGGCCGAGGACGTCGAAGCAAACGACTCGTCAGCCATGGTTAGTTGGTGGCAGGAGGCAAAGAAGCTAGCAGAACAAATCTGTCCGTTCTTGAGCATGGTCTTGTGTCGTCTTGTTTGTGCGACGAGTTGCAGCATCCCGCGGGTGCTCTGAACAATACTTGCCTGTTTCGTCCAGACAATACAGTTTGTCTCACCAGTCGAGCTTTTGAAGATACAAGCGATTAACGTGTTCAATGAAAAGAGGTCAACTCACTACAAGGTTCTATAAACAGCGAATACAACATGGTTCGATAATAGCTACATGCTTCAAGAAATTGCGACATGGTGGTATAAATGTTTCCTATGAACAGACGTGAATAGATGTCAGAGGGTAGGAAAATGACATTTACAGTTATCTACTCTCGTCTCAATGCTAAACGTGTTAGAGATACGGATCGATGGGACGGGACCTCGTCGTTTCCCTGAAAGATACCTCAGCACATAGACATTTTGCATCCGGTACCTGGAGACTGACCTTTAGTCGTTCATCCACGTGATCCTTACCCCAGTACTTGGAATTTAGGTCCATGTATGCTTTCCGTCGTCGCTTCCGAATCTCCTCTTTCATTTCAAGGTGTCCAAGATAAAGGTCCCAGGTGTATTCCAAGACTCTTTGCTGTGTCCCTCCCCGTAGCAGGCGCAAGGCATCCCCGTACTCGTACAGTTCCGACGAGTAATGTTGCTCATCTGGCATTCCCGTCCCCGGGGTCCATTTCTACAAGCTCTTATAATTCAGCGTATCGCATCAACACAACAGGTATCCCTCACGGCGTCTGGCCCAATTTTCCCTACATACCAAAACGTAAAGTATTCGCCGCCTTCGTCATGTTTCTTTGGGCCCCACGAACGGACCGAGACGTAGACTGCCTCCGTATGGGGGCTCTCTCTCGCTCCAGGATCCTTAGGGGGAGCAGGGGCCCGGGTGACTTTGTACAGCGGGAAGTGTTGGGCTTCGTATCCAGACTGCATTGGCACAACATGAGTATATGCACGCCGTGATTGAAGAAAAATGCGCACCTCCTCGTACGCCTCTCTCACCGCGGCCTCCTCCAATGATTCTCCTACATCTTTCCTTCCTTTAGGCAGAAAGTACTCCTGCCGTAGCGAATCATAACAGACGACAACCTTGTGCGACGAAGGCTGAATGATGACCATTCCTGAACCCATCATGAAGTCGCAGGACGCCCATCCACCATCAGGAATTTCGGCGGAGCTCCATTGAGAGAATACCCGTGGTGGCTGCGGTGGTGATGAAATCGATGATTTCGTCACTGCTCGTTTCGTTCCTCGTCGCTTGCGGTGAGATCCAAAGCCCATCGTCGTGAGAAATGAGGTTATATATTTCATCAAAGGGTGAAGATGGAAAGAGCACAGCCACGACCCATATATATCAGCCTTGCGCAGGATCACTTTTAATACAAAAAATAATAATAATTAATCATCGTTACTAGTCGTCAGTCGTTTACATTGTCGTCAGTACGAACAAGTCGTGAATCGTGGTCCACCATTACAGTAGTGCGGTTGAAATTTCAAGAGAAAGTGCAACGGACAGGATCGTGTACAGCCCAGAGAGAGATATGGGTACGGCTCTGGGTATCGCTGCACTTGAACTCGTCGAAGTACTTGCCGAGCCCGTTGAAGAAGCAGAAGCGCTGACCGTCACCTCGCCGTCCGATTCTGACACGTTGCCCAGTAATGTGCTTTCTAATGCGCAAATCTTTCTCATTCCAGAGACAATGCTGGGTAAGTCATTGCCTTCTAAAACGTCTGTCTGGTTCGTTGCTTGAAAGCTACGAGTTCGCAATGAACATTACGACAGTCACAATAACAGGAAAGTGCATACCAGTCGACACACTGAGGGAAGACAGACTGGAAAGTCTCCGTGCAGGCGCATTCGATAACATTAATGAAGGCTCCGGGATTAAATATAATCTGAAAGCAATGATTATTGTAGGTCTCTCGGCAAAATCAATGGATATACCATAGAAAAATTTGCCAGGACGGGTGCAGCCTCCGCACAGTTCTCAATACTCGAATAATTCTGTCCATATCGGTGTAAGTACGACAGCGCGGCGACCTATCTAAAGATTCTCCATCCGAAGACAGGGAGCCCCGCTATTCCTTCCATGACTGAAAGGCTGGATAAAAGCCCCTCACCTGTTCGCAGATGGGACAAGACGCAGGCGAATCAGGAAAATAGGGAGCTGTTCGGTGTACGAGAGCCTGGGAACGGCTCGACAAGCCAGCAGGGAAGGGAGATCCCTTTGCTACGAGAACGAGACCAAGGAACAGCATAAGGAAGGTCGTGAATTGCACCATGATGTAGGTCGTCATTGAGCGTCTCGAGCAGGGGAATCGTGCTGGCCGTCCTGTGCGGTGGTGACGGTGAAGTGGAACGATGGGAATTCGAACTCAAGAGGACTATCCGAATGACCTCATCGGAAGCCGGATGTTACGGGCCGCAACTGACCCGGAAGGAGGGTAAGCTGAGCATTTGGTGAAGAATGGTTCAGTTTCGTGATGAAGATAATAGAATACATGAGAGCAATGAACACAATTTAAAATTTGGATGTCGACCATGGGAAACAAAACAAGTGACTGGCTAGACTGTAGCTATTGTCTGGTAGGCTCCAGCACCAGCCTAGCCCGAGTTCTAAGAGACAATTCCGCATCAATACTATACACCCCAGGAGCCGAATTTTCTGTCTCCTCTACAGCTCGTGCCAGGGTCCATGTAATGTTCTTCTGCGCAAAATTGACTGTCATTTCCAACCAGAAACGACAAGTAATGACCGACGCACGTATGACAAATATACCTTACAGTCAGTGGTAAAACTCAAAATAGCATTTGTTCCGCCTCCTCGACGGAGGTCGGGATGGCCTCGAGGAGGCCCCACAATGCGCCAAAGCCCTTATTGGTTGAATCTAGAATAGCCAGAGTACTGCGTATCCTCTGCCAGTCTGTTTCTTCACCGAGGAAAAGTCGCACTTACGTCCTGGATCATCTTTTCAGTTCCCACCACGACGTTTCCGGATGTCTCGGCCACAGTTTGAACTCTCAGAGCTCCACGTTTAAAACAGCATCTTTTTGTTTGACTCTACCGTAAGAGGTCTTCATCCGTACAGCCGTTCGACGTAGTCCCATAAGGTCCATTTTTTTCCGTAGTTTATGAGGACGAGGTGTATGTGTAGAAGCTATAAAAAAACAGGTTTTAGAAAGAAGTATTACCAATATAGGTGAGAAACAGTGCATAGCAGCCACCAAAGCTTCCCGTCGCATAGAAGGTCACCAATAGGAGGCGTCAGGTGTGAGAAAGGGTTACGCGTATCAGTTCATCTTTGAGGTTCTCTCCAGGAAGGATGTCATGCTCGTAGTAAAATTAAAGCTTTCACCACTATCAAGCAACCGTCACTGGTAGCACACACCCTTGAAACTTGCTAACGAATATCCCTGACGCGTTTCATCATCTGAGATGACGACGCGACTACTAACATCTTCGAAGAGGGTGATCATGTTCGCCGTGCGATAGAACATTATCCTTTGTCAGAGAGCAGGGAGCAGTGTCGAAGTGGCGTTATCAGCAGTAGGCAAGGAAGGGGACTGGGATGGACAGCTAAAATGCTACCGAAAGATGACGGCGTCCAGTACCACGAGCAGGATGAAACCGACCACGAAGACAACGCAGAGTCTGACCAACGAGGCTATCTAATACCAGACAAGGATGTCAGAGAAGCCTGGATCCGAATTAGAGGAGCCTTTTCAGAGGGGGAAGACGTTGCAGATGGAGACTGAGGGTTTGTACGAGTAGTGGGGGATCATCCTGGCGTGGTAGAACATTACGTCTGAATAGCCAAAGAGGTCTTGATGAGGGAACCTCTTCATCTCTCTCACGTTGTCAAGGCAGAGAACTCAAGCTTGGTGGGAAGAATAGCCTGGCGAGCCGGCTTTATAGATACTCGCGGTACTCGGAAGAGAAAGCTAGTCAGCACGTGCAAACGTTTGTTAAAAAGATCGTGGGAGACTTTCATTCAACAGTAAACCTTTCCGATCCTTCGACCTTCTTTTCATTCATGCCAGTTGCTATCACCTCTATTAAAGCGTTTGATTAGTGGAAAGTACTACGCTGTGGCCCAAGGTCAAGAATGAACTGGGATTTGATCACTGGGCAATTGCCGAACACAACTGTGTCCGTAAATATGAGTAGTCCGGCTCCGTATATATGATTCTGCAGCGCACGATGTTCGGGATGGTTTTTCATCACGGCCGTAACAGTCCAGACTCCGCGGACTATGTCTTCTTGAAGTTGTAGGCAAAGAGAATAAGCGTTCAGTGTGTATCAATATTGTGTAATGTGAGAAAGTAGTCAGACAATCGCACGTATTAGTCCCCTCCTTCCATCCTTGAATTTTTGGGGTTTCATTTGACCTCCCTGTATCACTATCACGCTATGGAACTCCCTTTGTCAACTCACCGGTTTGATTTCGTGGCGGTGGAGGTGTCACTTTACATGCGGACGAATGTGTAATTTTCTCTGAAATTCCTTGCCTTTTCCTCCTTCACTCTTCTGGTGTGAATCGTTGAGAACACAAGTATAACGTGCTCAGTGCAACCCAAAAAATGGAAGGTGCTTTTCGACGTTGCAGCACTGCCTTAGGCTGCCGAGCTATTTCTTTAACCCGACTTTGCGTCACCTCGACGTGCTTCTAATTTGTCCACTCGGCGCTCCTCCCTCGGGTAAAATCTGATATACGCCTTTGCCCGTGGGGTTTCGAAGTTGATACGGGGGATCGGCAGGCTTGGAATTGAAATACCCCATGGGCTGAACTGTCAGTTACTCGTGCACATACACTGAAATGTTGATATGCAGCCTTTTTTCGGTAGCCTTTCGAGTACAAGCGATGGCTCGTGACCGGGGGGAATATGAGCCATCGAAGAAGAATACGCTTGGAAGTTGGAGGTCCTTGTGAAGGCGGACCTTAGTCGTTGGTAATGCCTGAACGTTGCTCCGAAGGCCCGAAGCGGTAGCCCGCCACTTCCGTGTGAAAAGGATGTTGCCCAATTGGGATCGCGTCGGCATCGGCACGGCTTGCTGTTTTGAGACTATACCACCACCCTTTGAACTCGGAAATTTGGCTGTCTCGCGACGCCATTCGTTCTTCTTTTCTCCACTAGAATCGGAGCATTTCCCAAGATTTCGCAGCTTTAGACCAAGTGCGTTAGCGGCGATAGAGATCTAGACCGCATCAAAAAATTCTTCCCAGGACGCCCACTGCGAAGTCCTCGTTGTGTGCTCTGTATCAAGTGAGTCTTTTTTGCTCCTCGGTGTGCATCATGTACAACTGGCACATTCTCGAGCTTCTCCATGAAAGAGAAATCGCCCGCACGGCACTGCTTTGCCGCTCATGCCGACTCCGTTTGACGGGAGGTGCCTGACACACTCGGCATTGTTCCGCCGCATCAGGTTTGATCCCAGAATTAAAAATTGGGAATGTAGGGCGTGCCGTCGTATTTAACCAGTCGCACTCGGGTTTCGTGCTCGCACCACCAACCATGAGGGTTACCTCCTCCCTACGGAATGTCTCCCCTTCAGTCTCCTCTGCTCTAAGGGAACGTGTTCGCAGGCCTTCTTACCTCAAGAAACTTGCCCAACCTGCAGACCTAGCTCCTCTATTCCAGGTCCGTTGTCTTCCGAGTCGTACTCACTGTCATCGAATTGGCTGACGTGTAAATTTTGACCTGCAGAACGATGACTATGTATGTTTTCTAGCTATTGTCTAGATATGGCCCTAAAGTCACGTCGGGAAACACAGATCGGGTGGTCCGGCTTCACCGGTGTCGGATATCCCAAGGGCGTTCCAACGGTATGTCACCATTACGCACAGTGTCGGAAGACTGATTGACTATTCTGGATCGATAGGCCATCGCTGACCATATCGAGTCCAATAACCTTCAATCTGATCCTGCGACCAAGAAAAAGTTCAATCTCTTCGTTGGCGCGTCCGTAGGACCAGAGGTCGAGGACAGATGGGCACATCTTGATATGTATGTTTCGTATCTCCACCTACAATCTTTCTCACTAATGCAAATTAGGATCCAGCGCCGCTACCCACATCAAGTTGGCAGGGAAATTGCCAAGGGCATCAATGCGGGGAGAATTGACTTCGCGGACAAGCATCTTTCAAGTATGTTCCGTGATTCAATTTAATGCGGGACCGGATTGAACACGTGTGCGTCAGTGTTTCCCCAGGATTTGACCTATGGATACTACAGTCTGAAGAAAATGCACGGGGATCCGTCGAAGCCGCTTAACTGGGCCATCGTGGAAGCTACTGCGGTCACGGAGGACGGATCTATTGTGCCAGGTGAGTGATACCCCACATTTGATTGCCCTGCTGGCTTTGATCCCCAATCAACGACACCTTTAGGTGCATCCGTTGGTGCTACTCCCGAAATTGTGCAGTCCGCGGAAAAAATCATCATCGAAGTCAACACTCTCATTCCTAATCTCGAGGGTCTCCATGATATTAACCAATCGTTTATTCCCCCACACCGCCAACCTTATGTGAGTCTTTTCCTAGACTTTTTTTGTCTCATGACGACGAAACACATCAATTTGTCTAGCTCATTACCCACCCGTCGGACCGTATCGGAACTACGGCTATCCCTGTAGACCCCGAGCGCGTTGTAGCCATCATTGAGAGCAGGCAACCCGATAACACGAGTAGCAACACCCCGGAGGTCCGTTTTCCAAGCCATGTTCTTATCGCCGCATATTGACGCGAGGACTAGAGCGATGACAGCAGGGCCATTGCCCGTCACCTGATCGAGTTTTTATCAGACGAGGTCTCGGCAGGTCGACTTCCCAAGTCTTTGTTACCCTTACAGTCGGGTATCGGAAACGTGGCCAACTCCATCATCGGTGGTCTCGCAGATGGTCCGTTCGACAGGGTGCAGGTCTGGACTGAGGTTTTGCAGGGTACGTTATATCACCACGAAAAAGGACGGACGGCGATGAAGTTGACGGCGGCTCACCAGATACATTTATCCGTTTCTTCGATTCTGGAAAGCTTGATTTCGCTACCGCCACCTCTATCCGATTCAGCCCCGAAGGGTAAGCGCTTTCGTCTATTTCAGACGTGTTTGGAGCCCTCATCTGCAGTTTCACAGTTTCGACCACTTCTACGCTCACTGGGCAGATTATAAGGATCGTCTCCTCCTTCGTTCGCAACAGGTTGCCAACTCTCCCGAGCTGATTCGACGACTTGGCGTCATTGCCATGAACACTCCTTTAGAAGTTGATATTGTAGGCCGTTCTTTCTAACGTCACTTCCTCTGCTCATCGGTGTCCGCGCGCAGTACGCCCATGCTAACTCCACCAACGCCTTGGGATCTAGGTGAGAACTACAGGCCTTTTGGACCGCGTCTCGAGCTGACGGGTTCTTGTCGTTAGGATGTTGAACGGTCTTGGAGGATCCGCTGACTTCTTGAGGAATGCGAAGCTCTCTATTATGCATACGCCGTCGAGGTAAGCCCCGCTTGCGTTTCCCAAGTCCGATTTTCGTCCAACTGACCGTTCTACAGTCGACCAACGAAGACCGATCCCACCGGTATCAGTTGCATTGTTCCTTTCGCTTCGCATGTGGACCAGACTGGTGAGATGCCCGAGTGTGTGTTCGAGCCATAACGGAGATCTGACTGCGTATAGAACATGACTTGGACGTTGTCGTTACTGAGCAGGGTCTTGCTGACCTTCGTGGCCTCTCTCCTCGTGAACGTGCCCCTCTGATCATCGAGAAGTGTGCCCACCCTGACTACAAGGATCTGCTCCATGAGTATTATGACCGCTCGTTGCATGAGTGTATGAAGAGAGGTGCTGGCCACGAACCCCATATGCTGAGGGTAAGATCCTTCTGTTGCACATTCAGATGTGTGCTCACTCTTTCCCTTTTCTTTTTACAGAACGCATTCAAAGTGAGTCTTTTCTTTCCTACAAAGGCGTCTAAGTTTGTTAACGCGTTGCGTTTTATAGTTCCACACGAACTTTATGGAGCATGGAACGATGAAGTTCAAAGCATGGGATTAGTCGGTGTGCAGTGAACAATATACCTACTACGTCATGATAGCATGCATGTTGAAAATTTATAAATAAATAAACATTTGTACATTTCAGCAGTCTGTTTACTGGATTTTTCCACCTCGCAGTGGCGGTGCAACGAGGTTATGTAATTAATAATAAAACAAAATAGATAAATAAATCAGGTAATATTCTCCCCTGCGCGCCAAATTACTCTTTGCCTTTTACGTTCATCATCTCGCGTCGCGGCGTATGAGTTCTTTCTGCCTTTAAACGCGAATATCATGGTCAATGCTAGCTTTCTTCCTACATTATCGTCACTGGACGTCGAGCGCGCCACCCAAGTCTGTATTTCCGAAATTTCTTGATGTGGCCTTCGGAACCCTGACCGGCATTATTCAAGTTGATTCTACAGGCGTATGGACAGCCCAACTCTTTTCTGCCGCCCGACGAACTTAGGCTGCGCCAGCAAGAGCTCTTTGAGATACAGAAGCGACCGGAAGCCTGGGGCCTTGTCCTTCCTTTGTTGAATCATGAAGACCCGAATGTTCAATTCTTTGGTGCTCATACCGTGCAAGTGAAGATTGCACGCGATTGGTGGGTGGATGCCTTGACTTGAAACGATCCTACGCCGTAATAATTTGTAGGTCATCTTTTCCAGAGGACCAGGCCGTGCCACTCCGCGATCTGCTCATTCAACTAACAGCTCACTCAATCGTCATCGGGAGAAATAATGTTATTCTTCGGAAGCTCTTCGTCTCTGTACATCAAACCTCTTCTACTCCCCATCGTCACTGCGTCTAATGGCTATCTCGACAGCTGTGTTCGTTAGCGCTGAAACTGGCCCCACAACATCCTACACAATGGCCAGATTGGATTTTGTCCTGTATCACCGCCTTCTCTGGAAGTGGTGCCCAGACAGGCCCTATCCTCGATTTTCTCACTATTGTGGCTGAGGAAGTCAGCACGGCGGATATATTGGGTCCAAATAAGTACGTGGGTAATGCTGCTTTACATCGGTTCTCATGTGTGTTCTAGGACAAGAATAACCGACACCATGAAAGACAGCAGCCAGATAGTTCTGCAGGCTATCAGATCATCACTAGATCGCTCACCCGCCGTTCCGGCCAACCAAATTCTATCCGCCATGAAATGTTTTCAGTCATGGTTGTCGTATCTCGGTGCCGCAGAAGTGATTGCCATCATACCTCTTCTTCTTCTCTTTCTTGACCCTGAAGACGACAATTTCTTCGTGGCGGCATCAGCTACTTTGCAAGAAATAATGTCCTCCTCCCCACTTCCAAACGGGCAAATGGGCTCGGGAGTCAAGACTCTGACCCAACCTCTCCTCTTGTGGTTGGATAGCAAGGGAAGTGTCATCGTCGAAGATACCTTACGAAACGGCATGGTCGACGAAGTATCGCATTCATTGTGCAAACTTCTAGCCGAGCTTGGCGATCACTCGACGCCATATTTCGCCCGTAATATCGCTTCCAATGTACGTGTGTGTCCACTTGAAGCCTACCAAAGCGTTGTCCCAAATCCGTCTGGGAAAACAAACGGCCAACTTACGCAAAGATACCTTCGCGCGATGCTTGATTATACCGATCTATCTGGATACTTCGGAGTGGATGAGGAGACTAGTGAACTGACTCTCGGGTTTTGGTATTTGCTGCAAGAAACACTTTGGGATCTTAGTGCTGACGATGATCGGGAGACAAATGATGGTGACCCTAATGCGATTGCCAAAGCCGTCTATGTGGAATTGGTCAAGATACTGCGCAGGAAAACAACGTTCCCTCCACGTGGACACGGATGGTCGAAAGGTATGGCTTTTATAATCTATCATCTCCGTTGTATTGATCTTTCGTAGACCAAGTAATCAGATTTCAGACGTAAGCGTTATGCCGAGCAAAGGTTCAATGCTAATCCCCACATTAGTTATCGGCGGGACATCGGAGACACGCTAATAAATGCGTGGGTTGCGATACGCATATAGGCAATAATTATCACTCATTTTGCCTTTAGGTATTACGTCATTCGAGATGAGATGTTGGTGTACTTCGTGGATAGCTTGATACAAGCGCTCTCGAATCGATCAGATCCCAATCAAGGCTGGGAGGTTGGCATATTTTACTACGTATAACTCACTACGCGGCTCATCTTCTTTGCTGAGTAGGAAATAGAATCGACTCTTCACTGCCTATCGTCTCTTCAAGAGGCCTTGGACTACGATAAGTCGCCTGACCTGACCCGGCTTTTCAATCCCGAGGTCATAAGCCGATTACCGTCGGTAGGCCATAGTCGCGTACGGTTAACAACATTGAATCTGTTAGGTTAGCGTTAAAAGCCAGAAATCAGGTACCGGCTTAACGCGAACGTTATAGGAACATACTCGTCTTGGTTCGCTCATGAGTCTCCTCAGCTGGAAGAGGGTATCCCCGGTCCTTCAAAGTTGGACATGTTATTGTCGGCCGTAGGATTTGTTGTTGCGGCACTACCGGAACCGACGTTGTCTGTACAGGCTGCTCTCGCTTTGCGAAACCTATGCGATGCCAATAGGAAGCTGCTTGCGCCTCAGCTTGGGGCATTCGCGGAGTTACATGCAGGCTTGGCCCGAGTGCCGGTATGTGGACTGTAGAGCCTTGATCATGAGTTTTAACGTTGGATTTTATCATAGGATGCGGAGAAGAGCAAGGTGCTACAATCTATTGCAAGCGTCATCGAGGCCTTACCGCCGGTGCAACAAATTTCTCCCATCGAGGTGAATGCACAATCTCGATTGTTGGTCGGTTTCTCAATACGCACACAGGCCATGGCCACACCTATTGTACAAAAACTGATGAACATTCTCAATAGCCCAACTACGGTAGGACTTGGGTGCCTTTCTTTTAATCTTCTGACTGATGTCTCTCAGCTTCCTCCAGAAGCACGGAGTTTAGCTATTCTTCAACTGGAGACATTGGCTGGCATCTCCAAGGGTCTGACTCGGGCTACTGACGATCTATTAGACCTGGACGAAGATTCTCAGGTCCAGCAAATTCTAGAACAAGTGAACCTAGCTAGATGTGATGAACGGATGGCCAGGCTACGTGACGCGATTCTTGCTGCTATCAGCCGTTGCGTGGAAGCTACAGGACAAGATGTTGGTGTTGGACAGGTAAGTCGTGCTGTACTTCTTCGCCGCGCGCTTAACAACAGTTCTCAGGCTATCAATGAACTGGTCAAATCTATAACTTCACTTGCATCCGACGCCACTATCATATCTTTGCCGCCCGGGCCTTTGTTAAATCTAGTTTGCATGGCTGCACAGCGCCAGCTTACTGCATCCTGGCTGACGCTCGCAACCATGCTGTTTGCTCAAATGAATCCGCCTCCACCTATGCCTTTAACAGGAGACGAGGACGGTCTGGTGAAGCTTAGAGAAGCGGAACTTGAACGGCAACGGGCTGAGGAAGAAGAACGGGCAAAGGCAGTCGTCATAGAAGTGTTGCCTATTCTACTGAATGTTTCGTTGTCGTTCATGGCAGTTCCCGGAGCCATGGTGGATGTGGGTGTTTTCGACCCTGCCCCAGCGAAATGACGTGCTGATAAGATTGCGTTAGAATCCTGATATCGTTCAAGAATTTTTCAACTGCATGGACAGAGTTGGTCATGTCGGATGTATTTGGTTTTTTACGTTGATGACGTTTGTGTCTGTAGGTTGCACAAGATTTCACTACCACGTTGTACCATTTACCGCCGGGTGCACTGGATGCCCTCATGCAATGTTCTGTTCGCGCTATGGCTTTGCAGGAACGTTATTCTTTGATTGCTGCTTGCAATTTCCTGGTACGTTCGGTTCATAGTTTTATCCTGTTCGGCTTTAATCTTTGATCATCGAAATGTGCAGAGTAACCTTATTCATCGATCCTCTGTTTACCCTGCGTTGGAAGCTCAACGGACGCAACTGATAAGCGGGCACGGCCGAGAGATAATGCGAGCAGTGCTGTTCGGACTTGCTGGTGTGTCTCCTAGGAGTGCGACGCCCAATCTCGTGGAGATGCTGTCGACCTTGCTTGTCAGATGCATCGAGGAGTCACGAGTATGGCTTAAGGAGATCTTATTTGATGTCCGTCATTCAATTTCCGACGTTGTAATAGCAACTCACCCTCTTGTTTGAAACAGGATGACTTTTTGCCGTCGAAAGCGGGGCCCGCAATCAAAGAGACGTTCGTCAAGACCGTGTTGGGGTTAGTGCTCGAACTCTTCTCAGGGGTGATCCCTAGTCATGTTTGTTTTTGACAGATCTAGGTCAATAAAGCGAACTCGCGAGGCCGCGAATCAGTTCGCCCTTGTCGCGCGGGGTTTAGATGGAACTAGTTTCGGCTATGCATCGGTATCCATGTAAGAGTAAGAAAGTTAGGCTTGTCTGATTTGTATCTTGTCTATAGCGGAGGCCTACCGAGTATTACAGTTATTTATGCGATAGAATAGCATTGTAGGAAGATAATAAGCCTTTGAAATCCAACCGCTCCTGGCATTAGATTACGTTTATGTTTGACATGCGGTATGATACAAGAACGACTAGCGGCCATGATCCTGAACGGGACGGTGAATATGCTGGTCACTCCTGGCCCTGATAAGAGATATACAGTCATCCGAAAAGTTCCATACGCTTCCGTGCAGGCCTATTCCGTCCTCCGTCATGCCCAATAGGACCTGGATCTGACGTTATCGGCATCGCTGATGACTGGCCCTCTGTTACTGTTCCTCGCGAGCCGGTAAAATGAATCCCACGCAACATGTGTTGTTCTTCAGCACTATCGCTGAGTTGTAGCCATATAGAACGGACCCTGAAATCATTTTCTTGAAACACGCCTGGGGAAGTGATTCGATTTATGTGATATGTTATGTCTTTATAAATTTACATGTCAATCTTTCAGATCATGCACTCCCTCCGCTCCTTGATTCCCAACTATCATCTCTAGCTATGACTACCTCCTCGACGGTCAACGTTGGCATCGCCATCCACCGCCTTGGGGACAAAGTCAGTAGAACCGCGTCTTACCAATGGAACCTTGTCCTCTCTACTGGTTCATTTGACGCCCGCGATGTTCGCGTCTACACCATCTCCAACACCAAAGACAAAGGACGCACCACCTGTCCATGGTATCTCGACCATCGAAAAGCCACTCTACTCCAATCCTCCGCCCTCCAAGGTGTCTTCCAGGTCCCCTTGATCGTTCCGTTGACATTAGCGGCGCTTGATGAATTCATTGGCCAGTTCTCATCGACACGGGATGGCTATAACACGAGGGGACGAGGTTGGGACAGCACGGCGTACACTGTCCGGACTCTGGACAGCTTGTATGAGGCCGGCTGTATCAAGCTGCCTTGCAGGATGGACGAGCTGGTGCTGTACGTTGAACATAGAGCCGCTCGACTGGAGTCGATGAGGGAGCAACCTGGGTACGGAAGCATGAAATTAGCGGTTCTCCCGTTGTGATCGCAGACCAGCTCAGATGGGGGGGGGGGCGTGCATGTCGTTACGGTGTGGCACGAGAGGTGGCTGTCGATGATAGATCCGAGAGTCTGGGAACTTTGGGAGAGAGACTCGCGCTGTTGGTCGTCCATGCGGAAGTCGGGGTTGGTTAGAGTTTAGATCGCCAAGGGGCGCGATTGGAACAAAATGCTGGTTGGTTCGGGTCGTATTTTTTCCTGCTCTTGTTCTCGCTTTCATTTACTTCTGTTTGCTGTGTGTATCTGCTATCTTTGTAGTTTATTTGGGGGACCCTGGGTCACGCGCAGTTATCCTTTGCGCGGTCGCCACCGTTCGTTAAGCGGGATCATCATATTCATAGAAATAATGGCTCGTATCAGAATATTTAGTAAAATGTTCACCACATCCTGCGATAGCTGTTAAACTTGATCCCGATATATGCTTCAACGCTTCAAGGAGAAAGAAGAGTTCCCCAGTGTGAACACGGCACAAAGAAGCGCTTGAGTTCCTCCACTGACGATAGGGAATTATAGTTCGGGCTTCAGTAAGTGTCGGCAATCTTTCGTGGATTGAACGTCACATCTAAAGAGGAAGACTGTGCGGACGGACGGTTATCCAAGGAGAAATGGAAACGAACACCTCAGTCCTCAGATCGACTCCTTTTGGACGAAAGTCAGGAGGACGCAGAAGTCTTGAAGAGGATATCTCAAATACGGATCATCGAACGGAACAAACTAATGCCCTGGCTTGGAGCCACCTTTGTCCTCTTTCCTTTCCGCAGCTGACGAATAAGCATGCGATGTTGAAAGATACAAAAACTGAGCATGGCGGTTATCATATAAATAAACCTTGGTACTTGATTTCAAAGTGCCAAAAATGAATCTATAAGGGATAAACCCACAAGCAAGGAAATGATTGGGTTTGCGCCGTAAGAGTACACACACCTACGCCGCCGCTGCCAGCCTGGATCACGCGCCCGGGAGGACTGAAGCCTGACTCGGTCGGTTCTTCCTCCGATAAGGTTTCGGCTTCTAGATAAGGTACAAGCATTCATGAGCGTAAAATACTTTTGCTGGATGTCGATCCGGATATTAAATTTTGCTACGCTCCGTGGTCGCCCCGAACGTCGCACGACGGCGGCGATCAGGAGCCTTCGGGCTAGGGATGACTAGTGGCTGAAGTTCGCCTCAGCTGCGATCATCTCTTCTTCTAGACAAAATGGATTATCATGGACCAAGGACGCTAGGCGATGTTCCTGTGGCGTACAAGCGAGGAAGGCCTAGTGTCCTCATCTCCAGAAGGCAGCGGAATTCTCGAGAACTCCCGCTTGGGTAAGGGGGGCCACGAGACGAGCAAGGATGTCAAGCCGTTGATATTGGAGCACAAAGGGCTCGAAATAGATTCGGAAAAAGTAGCAGGCCCAGGACCAGACGGAAGAAAGAACAAGAAGTCGAACTTGGCCAGCTCATCAAGAAGTATTCTCAGCTTCGCGTAAGGGCAATCACTCGAGCAACATGTCGCAACAGAGCGAACTTGGCCGGGAGGAGTCCAGGAGAAAGTCAACAGCATATCATTATCTTATCTATAAAAGCAACATTACGTTAAATAATCGTGGAGCAGTGAGTAGTGAGTCACTTACGCGTTACATTGCGTGCATTTGCGGAGGTTGAAACTGCTGACGTGTAATTGTGATTCTCCGAAGGAAACTCCGACAGTAGTAGGTTTGTTCTGCTCATGCCTGATATCGAGTACGAGGTCAGCTTCCCCCAAATATAATTTATTAAGGCTGTACAATGTCACTGTAGGTCGTGTCTGGTTTCTTCGCCCAGGACATGGTCGACGCCGATCCTGTGGCGATTGGGGCGGTTCCCCCTCGCTTTGGCTTACTCGACGCGTCTCCTGAGAGATGGAAGACGTTCAAATCTGTTGTCGAGAAGCTAAACAACGACTCTGTCTGTGACGCATCCTATAAAGTATTTTTCCTTGGACGGCACGGTCAAGGCTATCGTAAGTCGAACCATTTCGTTTCTGATTATGAAGTTCTGATCCCCGTCGATAGACAATGCTGCCGAATCCAAGTATGGAACGCAAGCCTGGGATGAGTGGGTGTCAGGGTGTATCTGGTGACTTGCTCTATTTTTCTTATTTCCCATAGCTACTGGTCAAAACTCGACGGCGACGGTGAACTTACGTGGGGTCGTATGTTCATACGTGTTACGAAGCGCTTGTCTCCTGCTGAGCGGACCCATTATAGCTGATCCTTTGTTAACCCCCCTCGGCGAATCCCAAGCGGCAGATGCCCGTAATGAATGGGAGGCGGAACTACTTCACGGGATACCTCTCCCCGAGAAGGCTTTCAGTAGCCCCTTGCAACGCGCCATGCGGACATACCTACTCACGTTTGATGGTATCGCTGTCGCTTCTAAGCCTTTGGTCCTCGAGGTATATTAATTTTACTGCCATCATACCCTCTTTTCTTAAAAGGTTCTTCCAACAGAACTGTCGGGAAGAATACGGAATTCATACTTGCGACAAGCGGCACCCGCGGTCTTGGATTCAACTTCATTACCCGCAGTTTCTTGTAGAGGACGGATTCAGTGAGCAGGATGTTTTATGGAAGCCTGACGCGCGAGAGACCAAGACGGAGGTCAAGACCCGAGCGAAAAACATACTTGACAGAATTTTCACTCTGGACAGTAGTACATGTGAGTGTTGGTATATCTGAGTACCTCGGCTGGAGCACGCGACGCTGATTGTGCAATGCACAATAGATATCTCCATCACTGCTCACGGTGGAATCATCAACGGTCTATTGGCATGCATCGGTAGGGATATTTATTCCCTGCCAACGGGAGGTGAGAGTTCGTTTCATATCCCCATCTTCATTAATTACTGAGTTAAAGATAGGCGTGCTACCTGTAGTCATTAAAGGTGTAAGACGAGAACAAAATTAGAAGTTTGTATTGTATCCACACCCGCTGTAAATCATTGGTCGATGCATTGACAAACCCCGAGCCTTCGGACCCACTGTCACCTAAGCACCGATGTGGTATCCGAAATGTAGGGAACGGGAGAGCGCGCACACGAATAACCGTTCTTCTGGACGTTCCTTCCATAGCATCATTACGGGAGGACTTGGGGAAAACAAGGATCCTGCGGGAATGGATAAAACCCTATGAATCTCAAAGGCCGCTGTCTTAACTGTCTGCAAATGCTGTTACTTAATTACCGCCGTAGTACGGTCGTGAGCTCCATACCGGATGATGAGGCACTGACCCCCTTGAAAATGCCGAAACATACCGCAACGGACGACAACGCTGTGCGGCCCATAATCCAGGATCAGCGCGCGCATATAAAAATCTGACTACAGATTGTAACGGCGATTAATGAGGTCACTATTATGTACTAGCGCCTAACCGACGATCAATCTTGAGAGCAGACTCAGGTTAGCCAAGAATCAGATCTCTCAAAACAAGAACAGAGGGGGTGGGCCTGTACAGCCGGTGGTATGTAACTCTGGATTTGACCAGTCCCTGTGTTCTAGTCAGGTGTATGAGAAGCCACCGATTATTTACCGACTTTCTTGATGGGAGCGCAGCGGGAATAGATACACGGGCCGTTTCTTGCAGAAGAGGTTTCTATGGGAAAATGTTACTCGGACAGACTATTTCATTCGGCTGGCCCAGAATCGCATACCAGAACTTGATCATCAAATCAGCTACCTGGTTTATGTCATGGTGCATATCAGCCCAAAGGTGAATATTAGGTCCCACACTCAATGCTATGCGATTAGAGATTTTTTTTCAAGGTCCCTTAAAGATGATTGCAGATACGGAGCCGTTCAATTACCTTGCTGTATGACGACCGTAAATGAATTATGATGCCTGTGGAAACCAGCAGTAGCCGCAATCACGAGACATCTGAAGGATCAAATGTTGCAGTGAGCGGGTGCCTGCAAGACCCGACCTTTCGACGGGCAGCCCTGTCTCTCTAGCCTCTGAAGCTTTTTCTCGAATTGTGGACACATTAGCCCGATAATCCCTGACCAGAGGAGAACATTACAGCTTCATTGACGATCATCAGTGAGTAAAATTATGTCTAGAGTCATTGTGCCCACCAGAGTTCACCCGAACATTTCCGTGCCTGCTACGCTGTCAATGTAGATCATGCCCCGATTGCCTGGCGTCATTCATTTACTCGCCCTGGAGTCATCGCTATGACCTGCTACAACTGATGGAATGAATGTACAGAATATTTTCGATCATTATTCAGGTGAAAGACTGGGGAGGGGCCGAATATGGGTAGCCCTCTTTTTTATGCACAATGACTAGCGAAGCTGCTTCGTGCGAACGATGGGTTCGCCAGTGCCTTGTATCAAGGAAATTTGACTCCTCTTCATGTCTAGTGAGTGATGTGGGGGCTTGGGAGAGCCGACTGTGGTGGGCTCAGCTCATTGATTTGAAAGCCCAAAGTTTGGTATGTGGTTTTCCATACATTTACGGAGTATTTTGCTAGGAGTCAACTATGCATGTTATTGCATTTCTGGTACCAGCCTGACAAGTTCGGCATGATGCCGGACATCTGCCGACTGGTAGTTTGCCTGTCCAATAATGACATCATCATTATGCCGAGTACAACGGCATTTTGAATTTGAGTTTATTGAACTTTTTATTCATTCCCTGCAAGTTGCACACACCTTCACAATGATAAAATATGTTATTGAGGTTGGGTTATAACCTGTTTTTAATTATGTACAATAGTGCTGGATATGGCTTCCCTTCATGCACCAAAAGCCCAGGCTCTGGGTCCTGTTTTCACGCTTAGGCCGGGCTTGGTATTTCTCGAAGCCTAAGCCTGAGCCCGCAAAAGCCGAGCCCGTTGAGCCCAAGCCCGGCCCGCACATTACTATGAATCATGTCGTCCGTGAATAACTGCCTCTTCAGCTCTGAGATCAGCTGATTGTATGATCTGATAGTCATTGGCCTTATTTGGATCGTACATGACTACTACAAGTGTTCTTTTTTACTGCACGATGCTCTGCTGATATTTGCCCAAGTTGTAACGTTGGAAGATGAGGTTTCAGATACACGTCTTCTCCATTCCTGGTGTACATTCCCGCGATGGCACCAGTGCTTTAAGTCTTTGGTCTGTCGAAAACATAGCTGCCTCGTTCTTGAAGTTCTTGGCATGTCTTTAGAAGAGCTGACAGGAAAGACATTGCCGAACAAGTTTCCTATACCTATGTGCAAACAGATCATCAAAGAGGTGTTACTCAGCTTGGCGTCTACGCTCTCTTTAAACGTTCGAATAAGATTTTTTTTTTCCCTGTAGATTTATTGAATCCATAATTTTGAACTGCTCATCCCTAGGTAGCTGCCATCAACAGCTTTCTGTTTGTGAGTTCCATTGCTGCATTCCTATGGATATTAATTCGCAATGTTGTGAGACAAGGAGCAGTCATCGCCGATGCAGTCCGACCACCCCTACCTGGATGTCCGTCGATTCACTCTGGAATAGAATGGACCCAGTGGGTACCTGGTAAGGCTCGCGGCGCTACGGAAACTGAAACTCACCTCTTATCTATCAAAGCGACTGCATACGAAGCGGTTCTTTTTGGTTTTGCGATTATTAAAACGGTCGGATTTATGCTGAAAAGTGAACAACAGACATCAAATTTTGCTCCATTTTTCTTCAAGCCAATATCGTGTACTTTTTTGCGTACGTCTTCCATTCATTATGGCTGGTTTCTTCCCTGACCCCACTTGGAAACAGAATGCCATGTATCCTGGTATTGAACAACGTCATGGTCATCGTGTGTCACTTCTTCTCCGCGACAAGGGGACGTGCATCTGACGTCGCAAACCTTAGGGAATGATCAAGATACCATGGTTCAGTTTCGGGTGAGTACTGGGCCCTCTAAGCTCAGATTTCGAGCTGAATATATTCCCATTTTCCAGCTCGCGCCCGCATACTCTTCAATCTTTGCCAAAGCGGCTCCTCGTGATATAGTCTTGTCCCAGATTCAGGGGAACATCGCTGCTCACAAAGAGATTACTCTGACCGGACACGTTAGCGGTCTATCTTCCTTAACCTTTGAGGAGTGCGGTCGAGAATGTCGAATTGGACATGTTCTCACTGCCTAACGAGAATTCGACATCAGAAGGTTTGCGGACGAGTGGATGAATTAAGTATAAAGCTCTTTCTTCCATTATGTAGCGCGCTATGTGATATCACGGCTCCCACTGGCCGTAGATCGAATATAATGTCGCCATGTGGATTTCCTATAGAAAAACCTGAAGCTTATTCCGGCCATAAAATCGTCCAAAGAGTTATTTCCCCAATGGCGACTCGTGATGCTCACGGTTTCAATGTGGCTTGAGTTCAATGTTGACAATGTAGCCTTTGCGGAGGGGATGTGATTGACGTACAACGCGACCGCCCGAAGTTCTGTCAGGAAGCTTAGGTCGAGAAAACCTGAAAACGATAGATGAATTTCTAATTAAAATCGTTCTTAAAATTGCGGCTGCACCATTTTTCCACTGAATTATCCTGAGGGTGACAAACCAAAGAGAGGAGCGAGAGGATCTTAATAGGTAGATGATGGGACGTGGATCCAGCGCTTGCCAGTAGAAACCTCTAAGTTTCAATTTGAAAGTCCTTAGCCTAAGTGTCGCGTGATGCCTCTTTAGCCAACGCAAGAGGTCATAGTTCCAAGACTTCAACGAGAGTGAACGCAAACTCGCAGGAAGGGTTATGTCTTCCAATGATGAAAGTGGGACATCCTCGATGCCATTTCTCACATTCGTGAACTGGATCGAAAGTCGCTGGAGATCGGGGAAAAGACTCGAGTATAAGAGGATGCGCCTAACGGTGGTGGATGTCTCTGCGATGTTTCCTGGACCTTCGTAGCTGAAGGAGAGACGTCTGAGGTGCGGGAAATAACGACGTAACGCTATTGCTGGGTCTGCGGACCGACCAGCGATTTTCGCTCGGTATATTCTGGAGCCGGCATTGACGAGGGCGCAGAGGGCGTGTCGATATCGAACGAGCCCGTCGTGTTTCGTGTGCATCCAAAGTGAAACTGTCTGAACATAAGGAGATATAGTATTGTCTGGCGAGTTTAAGAGCTTCACTAATTCTCGCACGCGATCCCTTGAGTGAACGCGTATCGACAAGAGGCGTCGGCTGGTTGGGATCCATGCTTTGCATACGAGGCTGCAGGTGAGGAGGGTCGCTCTGTCGAGAGAACAGAAGGTGAGGATGATCTCGAATAGTTCTTGGGGAAGGGTGAAATCCCGGGGTACATTCTGCATTGCATGATTCCGAAATTTGGAGGCAAGGATACGCCAGGAGATGCGTATACGGCGTATGGGATGGAAGATCCAGGCGTAGGCATAGAATTCGATGAAGGTAGGAATGTTTTCTTGGCGGTAGGCGGTGTAAGAATTTTGCATCTTACAGTAAGATGCAACTGCCTTTTTGTACAACGGGGTGCAGACTTCCGTATAGAAGACGCAAAGCAAGCTGAATAAGACGTATGCGATGAAAATGCCTGTCAACAAGCCGGTCACTGTCAATGGAAGCAGCCAGAGCATGCATGCTAAGAGGTGCCACCCCTTCTTTACCCCACATATATCGCCATCGTAGCCACCATCTCTGGAAGAAAGCGGCATGAGAATTCCCGGTGTTGCGGTAAAAGTGATTAAATGCCTAGTGGCAAAATCTGCGTTGTCGGAGAGTTCCGGGGCGGCCTTGAAACTGAACAATTGAGCACTGGCAGTGAAGATTCCTAGACCTACTCGGGACAAGGTCGCTCTTCAAATTAGCTTGGAAGAAGTTGGTTTGGTGCTCTCGGGATAGGTGTTGGTGTTGGTGTCTCGGAACAAGGTCCTAATCACGAACTAATAGAGATGTCCGCGATCGGCCAAGAACCGGGTGCGGCTTCCATTGATCCATATAAAATCTACCGGGCCGTAATTCTGGATACGAACCATCAACTCAATGAAAGTACGATTTAATGAGCATTTTCGTCCGCTTATCAAGCAGTAGCATCTCGTCAGCCTCCAGGCTAGTAATTCCCAGACGCAAGGGAACATCAAGGGCTGAATGAATTTCTCTACTATTATGGAGGTCGATAATAATTAATAATACAATACCTGAGATGATATATGATACCAGAAAACAGGACACAGGAATCATATATCACGGCTCCCACCGACCATACATGGAACATATTGTTGAAATGCAGATGTCCCATACGAAACACGGAAGCTTATTCCAGCCATAAAATCATCCAAATGATTGTGTGACACACTATCCCCGCTAATTATGATGGTTACAGTTTCAATGTGGCTCGAGTTTAACGATGATAGCGTAGCCTTTGTGGAGGGGAGGTGATAGACATGCAATACTACCGCCCGAAGTTCTGTCAGGAAGCGTAGGTCGAGAAAGCCTAAAAACGATGGATCAATTCCAATTTAAATCGCTCTTCAAGGTGTGGCTGCACCATTTTCCCACTGAATCATTGTGAGAGTGATGAACCGAAGAGAGGTGCGACAGGGTCTCAACAGGGAGTTGACGGGACTTGGATCCAGCGCAAGCCAGTGACCTCCAATTTTCAATTTGAAAGTCGTTAACCGAAGTGTCGCGTGGTGCCTGTTTAGCCAACGCAAGAGGTCCTTGTTCCAAAATTTCAACGAGAGCGAGCGCAAACTCGCAGGAAGGGTCATGGCTTCCAGCGATGGAAGCGGGACATCCTCTGTGTCATTACCCCGCCGTACAAACTGAATCGACAGTCTCTTGAGGTCGCAGAAAAGGCTCGAGTACAAGAGAATGTGCCTGATATTTGTGGCGGACGTTCCTTCGGTCTCACCTTGATCCTCGTAGTTAAAGGAGAGGCGTCTAATATGTGGGAAATAACGATGTAATGCTATTGCTGGGTCTGAAGACTGTCCAGAAATTTTTGCTCGGGATATCCTGGAGTCAGCATTGGCAAGGGAGCGGAGGGCGTGTCGATATCGAACGAGCCCGTCGTGTTTCGTGTGCATCCAAAGTGAAACTGTCTGAACATAAGGAGATATAGTATTGTCTGGCGAGTTTAAGAGCTTCACTAATTCTCGCACACGATCCCTTGAGTGAACGCGTATCGACAAGAGGCGTCGGCTGGCTGGGATCCATGCTTTGCATACGAGGCTGCAGGTGAGGAGGGTCGCTCTGTCAGGATAACAGAAGTTGATGATGATCTCGCACAGTTCTTGGGGAAGGGTGAAATCCCGGGGTATGTTCAACATTGTATGATTCCGAAATTTGGAGGTAAGGATACGGCAGGAGATGCGTATACGGCGTATGGGATGGAAGATCCAGGCGTAGGCGTAGAATTCGATGAAGGAAGGAATGTTTTCTTGGCGGCAGGCAGTATAATATGTGACCGCATTTTTGTACAACTCGGTGAAGCACTGGAAGAACCCTTGTAATAAGGTACCCACGAAGAGAAAGGCGATCAATGCCAAAGGGAGTAGCCAGATTATGCAAAGAAATATATGTGCGAAGTACTTTTCTCCACATATACTCTCGCCCTCTCCACCATCTTTAGAATACATTGGTATGGGACTGTTGCTTATATGCCTGTATGACGTTGGAGACAGTGAATCAGAGGCCGACAAATGAATGTTCTAGACTTACTGGCCACGACTCTGTCTTCCGATTTAGCTTGGGAAGAAGTCGGATAGTTAGTCACCTTGTTAAATTCTCGCTGAGGGACGCCGAGGTGCTGGAGGATGGTTCACCAGAAAGAGGATGGAAATTGCTCAAAGGATAGGAGCTCCTCGTAAAACGTCATAGACGCGTCGGCGGCTGCCGGCCCGGATTCGCACTTCCGGTCGCCCGCTAACCTTTCGGTTAGCACTCTACCTTTCTTGGCATGAAGCGCTAGAAACCCAATTGATTTCATGATATTTATCGCTCGTTGGATCCGGCTGCGGAATGGAATCGTAGATCGCAAACGAAGGCTTGTTTCTCATAGGGTCAAGGGCTACGAAAGGGTATAAAACATTTCAGCACATTCATATAAGAGCAAGGGACACGTTTGCCTACAGCAACAGGACCACCTATCAAGCTTTCTACACCTTTCACCGTCATAATGGTCCCCTGCAATTCATTCACGAGGTCTTTCCAAACATCCCAATTCATACAACCTCTTTTGTGTCTTCTCAGCAGAACTATTCCTCTGCGTTTGCACAACTCCAGTCGGCCTATGGATTCGGTGGTCATGCACCCTCCCCCATACCGAAGAAATCGAAATCCTCATCAAAGGCCTTCCTTCCATGATTCCTTCGTTCACGACCCAAGTCGTCATCCCCTTTATTCGCATCCAAAAAGGGCATCGGTGCCCTGCCCGGGCCATCGAAGCTGGAAGGCCCAGAGTCATTGGTAGTGCCTCCCAGAAAGGAGGAAACAAACCGTGTCGAACCTAATATCAGCACTATTGTTGGCATCACAAGAGGAGAAGAAAGATGCAGGACATAGGCACTTGGAGAAATATTTGGTTTGGTCCTACAGTACCACAGCGCGCTATAATATTACAATCAATGAATCATTTTTGTAGTATATTCATCCAGTCACTTCTATATTTTGAGCATAAGGAAGCTAAAATTGCTGAATACGACCAAGTTCCTTTAGAGTCTCGATGTGGAGAATAGGATGCATCAAGAATGCTTGGGATCAGATTGAGGGCAATGCTCAGGGGATCAGTTGGGATGGCTCCGGACCGAAAAGCCGAATATTGTGCGGCTGTGCTAAGCTTGCTTACGCCATGTGGTCCAAATACTTTCAACGTTGACGTCGACGTCGAGCACGACATCCTCCCCTGAGTTCTCTCCTACTGCCTACATTTCTACGGCCAAGGCCACCTTTTCCTTTCTCTTTAATTTCCCACTCAAAGGCTCCGGCATCTCGCCAGGTTCTGAACGTATTTGGCGGCAGTACCGGACGGTAGTTCATGACAGATATTCCTCTTCGTTCTCTTCGAAAACACAACAATCGCGCTGGATACACTCAACTAAACGATACTGATATCGACTCTGGCCCCGGGTCGGCCGACTCTCCCGACAACCGAACTACTATGCCTAGTCCAATCGCAGCAGTTACGTCCACGATCACGGCAGTGAAGAAGTCACGGAAGGACCGCTATGCAGGCAATCCAGAAGAAGAGACCAGTTTGCTGGGAGGAGAAATGTATGATGAGGAAGAAGGATATGTAGAGGAGACGCCTTTCAGAGAGGTGCGGAAACCCGTATGTTATTGGTACTTTGAAAAATTTGTACACGCTAATGTCGCTGCCAGAGATCTGCATCAATATTATCCAAGGGTAAGAGTTCACAGAAAGATGAGTCCCGTACAATACCATTCCGGCCGCCAGGTGCACATCCAGCCGTCATATCACTGAATACGCCCCTTACTTTTTTCTCAGACAAATTACAATCTCGGTATCCTCCAAATATCGTTCGTAATCAAAAGTATAATGCCTTCACTTTCTTCCCTATCGTTTTCTACGAACAATTCAAGTTCTTCTTCAATCTATACTTCCTGCTGGTGGCCCTGTCTCAGCTTATACCGGCGCTGAAGATTGGTATGCTGTCTGAATTCTATCTTTCTTTATATTTTAACCGGAAACTAGGATTTATTGTTACTTACATCGCGCCCCTTGCATTTGTTCTCTTTGTCACGATGGGGAAAGAGGCGTACGACGATTACAAACGTTACCTTCGGGACCGAGAGGCCAACTCACAGAAATACCTCGTCATTGCGCCACCTTCCTCTTCGACCGACGCATCCTCCCACCACAATGCATACCTTGACACCCATGCAAATACGCGGTCCGTCCCTTCGTCCTCTCTACGCGTTGGTGATCTAGTTAGGCTAGAGAAGAACCAGCGGGTACCGGCTGACATGGTTCTGCTACACACATCGGATGCTTCCGGAACTTGTTTCATCCGTACTGACCAGCTCGACGGAGAGACAGACTGGAAATTGCGCGCCGCAATATCGGAATGTCAAAAACTCGACGAGAGTGACCTCGTAAGGCTTGATGCTGAGATATATGGCAAGTTCATTTGCCTTACCATAACGTTCTGAGCTGATGAAATTACAGCTGATGCACCCATCAAGGATATCCACTCATTCATAGGGACATTTACTCTCAATGGTCCCCCTCAAGTTTTATCACAGAGCCAATCCGACGTCCCTCTACATCCATTGCCACCTTCGGTGGCACCGTTAACTGCCGAGAACATGCTATGGTCCAACACAGTTCTCGCTGCTGGAAACGCCGTCGGATTTATCGTCTACACCGGCTCCGAAACACGGGCTGTTATGAACACAAGTCATCCGGGGACGAAAGTCGGCTTGCTAGACCTGGAAATCAATAAACTGGCCAAGGTTTGCAATATATATTTGAAAGCGAAGCAGTCTCCTCATATATACTTTATCAGATCCTTTGCGCTGTGACATTCGCCTTGTCCTTAGTTCTGGTCGCACTCAACGGATTCAGGGGTTCTTGGTACATCTATCTTCTCCGTTTCTTAATTATTTTCTCCTCGATCATTCCCATCAGGTATGTCACGCAATGCACGTTATGTCGTGCTTTTTAATATGGTGTCCACAGTTTACGTGTCAATCTGGACATGGGCAAAACTGTGTACGCGCAACAAATCATGAACGATTCCGAGATTCCGAACACGATAGTACGGACCAGCACTCTGCCTGAGGAACTTGGGAGGATCGAGTATCTGTTAAGTGACAAGACTGGCACACTGACGCAGAATGGTACGGGATCTTCTTTGCTGGTTGGTGCGCTGTCTTATACTGCACTTAGAGATGGAAATGAAGAAGCTCCATATGGGAACCATGTCGTATGGCTTTGATTCCATGGACGAAGTCGCTCATCAACTGGCTGTAGCATTCGGGGCTGATCAAGGCATTTTACTTGCGATTAAATTGGTTTCTCCGGTCTAAACGTTCTTTGTAGCACACGTGCGGCAGGGTACGATGCCCACAGGAGCCCAACTAGCCACCCGTGGACGAAGAGACATGTCATCACGAGTGCGTGATGTGGCTTTGAGTCTGGCTCTGTGCCATAATGTAAAGCCGTTTCATTCCCATCCCGGATTGCATTTTTCAATCATCCATCTACTCAGGTCACTCCGGTTACCAATGACGATGGTTCAGTCACCTATCAAGCTTCCTCTCCCGACGAAGTCGCCATTGTGCAATGGACACAATCGATCGGCCTCACCCTGGTGTTCAGAGACCGTACCAAGATCGAGTTGCAGACGCCCACCGGATCGAGGATTATATTCGAAGTGCTCGAGATATTCCCTTTCACATCCGAATCAAAGCGCATGGGTATCGTCGTCCGAGATGTTCAGACGGGGGAGATCACGTTCCTGCAGAAGGGTGCCGACGTCGTGATGGCCAAAATCGTCCAACGGAACGATTGGTTAGAGGAAGAGACCGGTAATATGGCCCGCGAAGGTTTGCGTACGTTGGTGATGGCGAGGAAACGGTTGGGCGGGCAGTCGTACAACGAGTTCAAGCAGCAGTACCATGAAGCCAGTGTCAAGCTGGATGGACGGAACGAGGCTATGGCTGCGGTGGTGTCAGAGTACCTGGAACATGATCTCGAGCTCCTAGGACTGACGGGCGTCGAAGATAAGCTTCAGGATGATGTCAAGTCCACGTTGGAACTACTCAGAAACGCCGGGATCAAGATCTGGATGTTGACGGGAGACAAGATCGAGACCGCGAGATGCATAGCTATCTCGACGAAGCTAGTCGCTCGCAATCAGTATATACATGAGGTTGCAAAGCGTAGGTGTACATTCTTTTCTGGTTGCTCTCGTCCTAAACAGGCTTTGCAGTGAAGACTTCCGATGAGGTTCGAGACCAGCTGGAGTTTTTGCAGTCGAAGCTGGATTGTTGTCTGGTCATTGATGGGGAATCATTACAGGTATGCTTATCAACCGCTTGGGTTACGCTTTTACTGATGTCACGATAATAGCTTTGTCTCAATCTCTTCAAGAATGAGTTCATCGAAATAGCCACCAAACTATCTGCGGTCGTCGCCTGCCGTTGCTCGCCGACCCAGAAAGCGGACGTGGCACGTCTCATCAGGAGACATACGAGGAAACGCGTGTGTTGTATCGGCGACGGCGGTAACGATGTCAGCATGATCCAGGCTGCCGATGTAGGAGTCGGTATCGTCGGAAAAGAAGGCAAACAAGCCTCTCTCGCGGCTGACTTTTCTGTCATCCAGTTCAGCCACCTAACGAAGCTCCTCCTATGGCACGGAAGGAATTCTTATCGACGCTCGGCGAAGCTCGCGCAGTTTGTCATCCACCGGGGATTGATCATCTCCATCATGCAGGCCGTGTTCTCGGCCATCTTCTATTTCGCTCCCATTGCGCTTTACCAGGGGATGCTGATGGTGGGGTATGCGACGATTTATACGATGGCTCCTGTATTCTCGCTCGTGTTGGATCGTGATGTAGACGAGGACGTTGCGCTACTATACCCGGAGTTGTACAAGGAGTTGACCAAGGTATGCTGTGATCTATCTCTCGCTTCTGCCGGATAACGCTTACCATGGATTTTAGGGCCGGGCCTTGTCGTATAAGACCTTCTTTCAGTGGCTGATGATCAGTCTATATCAAGGTAAGAGACTCCCACCAAGACTTAGGCAAACTATCACTCTGGGGAGTGCGGGGAATTCAGTTCGTCGCGATGATGCCTTCCAACATCATCCCGTGATCGGAGCGTTCTGAATTCTGGGGCTCCCTAGTGTGTGAAACTGAACGAGACCAATAGGTGCGGCGATAATGATCATGTCCCTGGTCCTGTTCGAGAACGAGTTTCTGCACATCGTCTCCATATCCTTCACCGCACTCGTCCTTAATGAACTCATCATGGTGGCACTGGAGATCACGACATGGTCGGTAGCCCTTTACGTTTTCAGGATCTTCTTTCCCTGACCTTGTGACGACGATTTTCAGGCACCCCTACATGGTGGTATCAGAAATTGTTACCCTGTTCTTCTATATTATTAGCATTGCCTTTCTACCTGAATACTTTGGTAGGGCCTCGTTCATCTACCGATGTTGCCATCATCTCACAGCTTACAGATCTGTCTTTCGTCGTTACACTGGGATTTGGATGGAAGGTTGCCGTCATCGTCGCCATCAGCGCGCTACCATTGTATATAATCAAGCTCATTCGAAGTAGAGTCGCACCAGCTGCATCCAGCAAACTATGATCTCTCACACAGATACCACACACCATTTTGGATATTGATAATGTATTCTTGTCGCTACGTGAGTTAAAATGTAAATGGATGATGGATCAAAACAGTTTATGGAGGCGGTGAGTTATATGCGGTCGCAAAGAATCCAGCTTGGCCCGGCGAGGGTGTGGCAGGATGCCACTCCTGTGAGGGCGAAGCCCAGAGCCCGCCAGTGTTTAAAGGAGGCCCATTACGATTACCGTACGGCGGATGTACGGACACAGGCGGGACCGGAGGACCCCAAGGTGTCCTTGTCACCTCGTTCGTCCCCCAAGACGGGTTAGCTCCGCCTCGTCTTCCACCTCCACCAACGACGACCTCATCGTCGTCCGCGGCCAACGCCGACGACCCCAGCACGACGCCCTTGGGACTCGGAGATCGTCTGTTCGGGGATCCCGAGCCACTCCCGCCACCTTCGGGGCGAGCGATTGGCGCGATCACAGGCCGCGTGATCGGTCCTGGGCCAGCAGCATCCACAGACGTCGACGTGCGGCGGCTCTTGGGCGGGGGTCCAATCGGCTGCGGCGGTTGTCGTGGAGGCGGCGGCGGGGGGACGTAGTGCGTGTGGTTGTGGGTCTCGAACGCACCAGAAGGGTAGTTCCTCGGCATTGGAGACGGCTGGAGCGGCTGTGGAGGCGTGAACCCAAACGGAGGCACGAACGCGGGGACGCGTGGAGACATGGCTTGCGGCGGGATGTAGATGGGCGTCTGGGAAGGCGGGATCTGCGGGACTTGAGCCATCACTGGCTGCGATTGAGGGATCGGTTGCGCGAGGATTGGGCGGGGAGCTCGCGGGATCGAGGACGAGCTCGAAGACGAAGATGCGATGGGCATAGCCGCAAGAGACGGTTTGTTGAGGATCTTCTTGGACGCGGCGCCATTGACACTGCCTCGGGACTGGCTTGAGGACGATGGATTCCTGGGCGGTGTCGAAGGCGCACTGGCACGTGCATTCTTGACGCGTTGTTGCTGTTGCGCCAATACTGCCCAACGCTCTTTCTCCTTGGCTTCCTTTTCCTTAAGTTCCTTCTCCCTCGCTTCGCGTTCTTCCTTCTCTTTCGCAGCCTTCTTCTCTCGCTCAATTCGCTCTTCCTTCTCGCGTTCTTCCCTTTCTTTTTTCACCTTTTCTCGTTCAGCTTTCTCTTTCTCTTCCTTAGCCTTACGCTCTAGTCTCTCCTTCTCAGCCTTTTCCTTCTTCTTCTTCTCATCTCGCTCACGCTCCTCAGCAATCCTCCTCTTCCTTTCCTCCTCCTTCTTCGCCCTTTCCTCGTCTTGCGCCTTCTTCGCAGTCTCTCTCTTCAGCCGTTCCTCCTCTCGCTTTTTGCGCTGTTCATTTTCCAGCTGCAACTGTCGAGCCTTGGCTTCCGCCTCCTCCGCAGCTTTCGAAGCAGCTTTCTGCGCCTTTTCCGACTCTTTAGCCTGTTTCTGCTGTCTGCAATAATGTAAGGCCAACAGTCACCGTTTAGACGTTCAAGTCACACACCGCTTCTTGTCCTTCTTCTTTTCCTTCTCGCGCTGCTTCTTCATCTCTTTCTCCTTCGTCAGTTTGTCCTCATCCTCGAGCTCGCGTAGAAGCTGCAGTTGCCTCTCCTGTGCCACCTTTTCTCGATAAGCCTGGAGCACTCGCTGCTCGAACATTCGCGCTGCAAAGATGGAGAACATGCGCTTGCCTTCCTCCATCTTCTGCTCTTCGGTGAGAATCTGCAACGAGTAAGATTACAGTCAGGTAGGGTGAACTCAATCACACCTCTTCCTCTTCCTCGTCGTCTTCCTCATCATCATCGTCATCATCTTCGTCCTCGTCATCACCTTCGCCGTCTTCGTCGTCTTCATCTTCGTCATCATCATCCTCGCTGTCACTCTCAACATCTCCTGCGGCCTCTTCCTCTCGCTGCATCCGTCGCTCAGCCAGTTGCTCCATCATCTCAAGAAACTTTTGCCCGTCGTTCTTGAGCAGATCGTCAGCTACCGTGAGGATGTTCCCCGGACCAGTAACAGTCAAACTGCTCCCAAGACTGAATAGGCCGTCTCGAGCGGGTTTGGTGGGTGGAGGTTGTGGCTGCGCCGGAGGTTTTACCTGTACAGGTGGTGCCTCTTCCTCCTCATCGTCCTCCTCGTACTCATCATCGCCTTCTTCCTCGTCCATAACTTCGTATTCATCCTCTTCCTCTTCCTCCTCTTCCTCTCCCTCTTCATCCTCGTCGTCGTCAAAATCACTCGGATGCTTATGCCGCTGCTTGGTGCGATTGGGAGTAGGTGGTGGCGCTACCACGCCCGATTTCCGTTGTTGCTGCTGCTGCTGCTGGACAGACTGAGGTCGCTTCGCGGCCGTCTTCTTCGGACTGTGGTTGATGACGGCGCCGTGTTTGTCGAGCTCCACGGATCCGGGGAAGGGCCCTGGACCAGGTGGCGGAGGGCCACCCGAAGAGACGTACCGCTGCTGGAGGTGAGCATACTGTTCGAGCTCCTCGTAGTATGCATCGTACAGCACCTCCAGCTCTTCCTCAATAGCGTTTCTGTAAATAGCGTGAGTTACAGAAATAAAAAAATAAATCAAATCCTTTGATGGACTCGCCTCTTCCTACCGCAGACGGCACAGCTACAACTATGCTTCTGCTGCTCCTTCATCTTTCTCAGCACCGTATCTTTTTCAATCTTGACGAGATTCCGGCGCTCTTCCTCGCCTAAGCCAAGCCAGAAATCCTTGATCCGTTCGCGCTCTTCCGTGCTGCTCGTGCTCCAGATTTTGTTGGCTTTGGTGATGCTCGGCACCATCGTTGCTGGCGGCCGCTTCGACGGCGGTGGCGACGGGTGGTGATGGGCGTTCGTCGTCGTGTTATTGTTATACGCATTCGGTGGAATCGGGGCTTTCGATGCGGCGCGTGCACTCTTCGCTGGCGCTGGCGTTGCCTGCGGCTGCGTCGTAGGATACGCCATAGGCTTTTTCCCAATGGATACCTGACTTGGCTGCCTCCCTACTGGCGCCATCGCCGTCAATGGAAATATTGAGGTGCAAAGTCGAGAAATGAAGTGAAAAGCATATGTAAGCAGGTGGCGCGTGCACGTTGCCTAATTTGGAACCCTAACCTTACGACATGGAGCGTTGTAACTTTACAGCTAATACAAGTCCAGTCAGATATCATTTACTACTAGATGGTTACGAGTAATCTATACCAAGAATAAAGACAAGAGAGGGCAGAAATATGACTCCGAGTCGGACAGGGTACGGAATACCGACACAATTGACTCCGACTCAGTGATACGAAATGCACGTTCTCCCTATGATATAAAAACTGTCACCGAACGTAAAATAAGAACCTCTTCCAAGTCAAACCAAAAAAAAATGTATATACATACAGCGCATTGGAAGATGACAGCTAAAAATGCGGAGGGGGCTTTCAGGACCAGGCACCATCTCCCTTGCACGTGGGCGTGACTAACTTTTAAGTGGTGAATCATGTGATGATACCCACTTACCCGATCTCTGCATAGGTATCAAAGGCCTCTTCAGCGTATTCCAACTCCAACCAAGCGCCCATGGATTGTTTTTTTTCCGCAAATCGACGTGGATGCTTCACGAACAAGAAGGAAAGGGGAAACCAAACGGGGACCTAGCGGGAGGAAAAGTGCAAGTCATTGCATGGCTCGACATTGCTTGTATAAAAAGTACCATCGTGGGCAAAAGAATGCCGTCAGCCGACTCGGACCTGGTCCATAGTGTAAAAAAGCGCTTACGGTGGTATCCATGACAATCCCCATCCTTCAACCGAGAACGTGTCACTGGGAACTTCTAAGGGCGATCTTCGTGTCCATGTTCAAGAAAATTGGCACAACAGTTCATGGGCTTCAAAACAGGATAAGGATAAGCCCACGGAACATTGGACCTGCTCGGACCCACAAAGATGGAAAGCCCAGACTTAACGCCGCATGCTCGCTCTGCCGGTAATGATTCCACCAACAATTCCGAGCGGAGCACAAAGGGTTTCTGACTTGCTATGAGGGAAACACAGTGCTTCAAGAGCAAAGGGTTCCATTATTCAGCAACAAAGGTCTGGCGACCTTCTCACAACACCGATAAATGATAAAGCTTCCTTTAAAACCAAGCAAAGGCCAAGAGCAGTCACAAGGCCAGAGCCCATCTAACGCTGTCTCTAGGGCCCGGCACGGTGTATCCACCGGGCCAAATAGCGGGGGGGAACAATGCTCAGTGTATGTTAACAAAAAGTCATCTGGTTGCGCCACCATTGCAACCCAAATCAATGAGTCTAAAGTCGCCAAAGAACCAAATATGACGGCAAGAAAGACCCTGGCGAGATGCGAACCCGAATTTATTTAATAGAAAAAAATTTCGGTTCGAAGCCCTGACGGAAATGACGGTCGTAGTCCTCGCGACGAGACGGGATAATCAGTCAGATTCCCAGTGTTCCCCAGATGCATCTCCAGTGCCGTCGTTTACTGCTTCGTATTAGCAGAAAGTTAAATTAAAAACAGTCGATTGGGAGCGGAACTTCGGACCGGACCCCGATCCAACATCCGCGTGTTCCCGGACCACGTGCACTTTAGGGCAGGCCAGCCTTTCTGCCCTCAAGCGCCCACCAGCGACAACAGGCCCAGGTATTACCAGGCCAACCCCACCTCCTTCACGACCACCACCATGGATGCCGACACGGAAATTTGTATGTGCATTGCGGTGGCAATACAAGATGGTCCCCAAGGGAAGAGTTTCGAGGTAGTCATCCTGCTTCCCCAAGTACCCCCGCCTTCCTTTCCCTGACCATAATTACGATCCTAGGAAGTCCGTATAGATGATTACCTAAAGGCATACTCCACAACAGGCCGTCCGCCCGCCCCGTGTCCCCAGATACCCATCGCATCGCTCGAACGCGCCACCTTGGGCCTCCCACCGCTCTTCGAGCCCCAACGCCTCCCGAAGCAGAAATCAGCAGCGTCACCCGATTTCCAACTGTGGGAGCAGACGCGCGTGGCGGAGGAGTACTTTCAGTCGATCGTGGCGGCTCCGAGGTATGTTGGGTACAGCCCAGAGGTACGTCGGGGGAGGATACGACTGGATGGGTTCAATTTACCTTCGTGTTAGGAATTGCGTTGTCAGGCGTATGAAAAGGGAAATAAAATGCTACCTCCGTCCATGGCGTCCCTGCAGGCTCCAGTCTTTTCCTTTGGCTTGGGATCTCCAACCCAAAGTACCTTGCCGTCCACCTTGCCACTCATCCAAAATACATTGCCGCCTATCCAAAGCACATTACCACTCCTTCAAAGTACAATACTACTACCGCCCATGCAAAGTACACTCGTGTCGGACACCAATGGGGAAGTCTTTGCTAGCATAACAGCCCAGAACGCCTATTCGCAACATAGTTTTGAAGTACGTTTTCCGTCCTGTCCAAGTCTGGAAGCTAAAGCTAACGAAACTGTGTTGCCACAGGAGCTGCACGTTGCATATCTTCTGGCTGGTAAAGAGATGACATCTACTGAGATCATGAGCGCGTCGGCGGTACCTGTGGTTCCTGCTCGGCCCGCACTTCGTCTGTTCTGATTGTAGCATCCTGCGCATCGCCATGTATTATGGTGCGATCTGTATTTCTAGGTGATTTATGGTGAAGGCGCGCGAATATACCAATGTTGGGGGGGGATGTTGACTTGGGCTGACCTTGGAACCCTAAGTGATCCTTGTTACCTAGTGGAAGTAGCCGCTAACTGAGTTGTATACTTAGCAATTTATATCGTTTTTGGAGACGTTTTGTGGTCAAACTAAACTCTGGTTTCGCTCTGATTGATTGTACACTGAACTAAGCAAGAGCTGACCTTTATCACGCATTGATGATGATACTTGCAATTCTTGCAACTGTCATGTTTCCAAAATTGTAGTCTTCAAGATGCTCTTTCCTTATTTTTCTGCCTGCGTGGATAGACTGAACTTGGCGTTACTTTGTCGAGGGACGCTTACTCGAACCGTTATTCTCGTTCTTTCGGATTTTGGAAGTCCAGGATCATTTGCAAGTCGGTCGGAGGTTCCCGGTGTATGATGCTGAAGAAAAATAGCTGATGGCGAACCCGGTCATTGTAGTGGAGGAAAGCAGTCGGCGATCTTGAGTCATATCCATCTTCGGAACAGGACGGCCCGGGGCGCCTGTGGATATGTTTCGAAGACAAACGATTGAATCGCACATTTAAATATTCAAGGACAGAGAATACAAGTACACACAGTTTATTATAAACCAACCATAATTTCTTTCAGTTCCGATCACCGACGTTCTCTCCTCTAACCTGGACCTCACATTCTGCAAACGCCCGCTGTAAAATCACAACCATGATTGCTTCTGCTGCAATTGACCTCCACCGCCACCTTCTCCATACTTTCCCGCCAAGTCAGCAAGGGCTTTGTCCTGCTTGCTCAATGCCGCCTTTTTGCTGCCTTCCTGAGTGGTAGGCTGAGGGTTAGGGCAGGGCGCGGTCCCGCCAAACCCGTATTTAGACTGGAGATGTGCGAATGCAGCGGCATAGTTCTTCGTGGATACAAGGGTCTGGGTAGATGAGACTGTGGTAGTCGACGAGTTGTTTGCGTTAGGCGGATAGGAAGGCATGGTAGAGAGCGACAAAGAAGTAAGTATAGCTCGTAGCTCACTTGAAGATGTCCTGGGTAGAGATGATTCTCTAAGCTGCAGCACAACACATATCACTTTTATAACCGTCCATTCAGTAGGCGCCTTGACGGACCTGAGAGGACGAGTCAAACAGTAATACTGCGGCCAAGAGAGATTCAGTATGAGTCACACAGAAACTAGCTTCGATAGTGGGGTGCACGGGGATTGCAAGTGGATCCTCTAGCAGTAAGGTGCTGCGCACAACAAGCGCTGAGGACCCGCAGCCAGGTACAACACAGTTCCAGCAGCTGCGACCCTCATACCAGACTCATGGTCCATTGAAACGCTTAGTGAGCCACCAGTTCGAACACTCGCGGTAGTTGCCAAATTGACACACACTTTGGCACGGCCACATCCACGTGAAATGATGGATGTTATATTTTGATTCCGAGGCTTTTTTGTTGGGTTCGAGTTTTTTTGTCAGCAAAAAGACTCTAACGCCTCTCGCCTTCCATGCCATTGCGACCGGTACATCCCATCTGTCAAAGGGTACTTAGTGCGCGCGGGAGGGGACTTGAACGCATGCCTCGAAGTTCTTTTTTTTTTGTGCCCCGCGTCGTCTGCTGCTTTTCTTTCACCCTTCCACATCCGTGAGGCCAGTCAAGCCGGACTTAACCCGTTCGATGCAGTGCGGGTTCGGAGCTAGACCCTCTATCTTCGACGGCAAGTTTTCTCTATTTTTTTCCCCCTCCTTCAGGGTACTTAAAACTTTGGACTTAACCTGCTACTTTCAGACATTCAGATTAATGATTAACCGTGGCCCATATGCAAATTCGTCGGACTATGGGTAACATGCCACCAAACCGTCCTCCCGATCATCAGGTTCGAGACAATGCACCAAGTTTCGTTTGACAGGTCATTGTCACCTTCAGCCCTCTAGCCTGAGGCTCTATGGACCCCTTGATTTATTTCGTCCTGTCACTCCGGCTTGTTACTTTCTTCTACTTTCGCCTTGATGCACGCATATGTCATATCCATCGACATTTCCAGGTCTATTGTATGCCCAACCCGAACCTGGGCCTTCCCAGATGATGGCGCAGCCATTAGTCCTTGGTGGCGTATTCGTAGACGTGTCAACCACCTTCAACATTTCGGTTCACCCGTCCTGCATCCGAACGCGCGAAGTCTATCACAAGGTTTAATGGATTCCTCTCAGGTAAGGGGTGGGGGGGGGGGACGGGTATCCACGATATTTGTCGCGCAATATGCAGAATGCCGGTCCGAATCGCCTGGACTCCCATCACGCATGCCCCTTCAGAATGTCGTCCCATCGATAACAACTTGTTAGTGGCAACTCTGGCTCGTGGCTCTAGCAAAATGCCGTCCCCCCCCCCTCCCTTGCTCAATGACCATCTCGGCCAACCGCCAGTACCTTTTTTCCAACCCTTTGTTCTAAAAAGTTGCCTTTTCGTACTCCGGGTATTACATCCGCTGCTGATCGTCGCCTCGTTGCCTTGTCCCGCGTTCGTTAATCATCGTTGACAACCCGACGCATCGTTATCTGACACTAATCGATAAAGGCCTCCCTGCCAAGGCAACAGTTCATTTACCCTTTACGATTCCCATATACAAAGAGGTATGCGTACAGCCTCTTCCAACAAACAAACTCGGCAACTCATGTATTTAGCGTCTCAGAAGATCCGCATACAATAGCCAGCTTTGTTTTTAACCCTGGCTAGACAAGATAAGTTTAGCTCATATCAATTGAAAGGTCCGATGCTAGACCCTTGGCCCCCAACCTATGCGACCTTACACTCACCTGCCACTCATCCTTTCATTATATACAGAAACCTTTGGACAACCCATCCCCAATGAGGATGGCCCTCAAATGCAAATGCCGGGTTTTCTCCGCCATTTTGTATCCATGTCGATCTGTTATGTCCGCAGACTTCGTGACTATTCGGATAGAAGCCAACTCGCCGTGATCGGCGCCCAGTTTTTCTTTCGTCCTATCATAAGGGTCAATGTCTCGAGCACGCCAGTATACGGCAAATTTGTATCGTGTTCTAGTCCTTCCCGCTCCCGCCCTTCAGTACATACTTTTGTAGTCTCACCCCCGTCTAAATAGATACTTGCCTTCCCCACCAGGGGCGGCCCTTAAACGGCAAGCTTGGGAGAAATCTTTTAGGGTCCTAGGTTAAAATTCATACCTTTGGATTACGGGACCATCACCCCGGCTGGTCCTAACCATTATTCTCGCTTCAGAACATTGACCGCGGTACTTTAGATGTTTCATTGAATACGGACTTTCCGAGGGACACCTTAGTCGGGTGAGGGGGGCATGTGTGAGGGAGGAGAAAACGATGACGCCCGGTCTCCATCAGCATTATTATCAAAAAAAAAAAAAGTTCGTCGTAAATTGGAATTTGGGGGGTTTTAGGCTATTTGGTTCTGGACGACCTCGATGGGAGTCTTATGGGTTCAATTTGATGATGAACCGCCGGGAGGGGGCTCTGGCTCCGCACGCGTCCACCATGCCGTCACTTGGTTGGCGGTAACTGGAATCGCTGATAGGCGTTTACTACTTGGACGAAGAAATCACACTAGAAACATACCGAAAAAAGGACGCCGTGCGTGCAACATCATGGCGTCGTCGTGAGGGTGAATCCTTTTTGGAATCATATGCATACACGGAGATTTTACCGATCCCATCACGACCCTCTTCCTGGGACGTTCCGTATGTTTTTTTCCCTGACACAGCCGGTACGAGTGCAGCGTCAGGGTCAGCGACGACGCAAATTCGAAAGAACAAAGGTATCTTTTGTGCAAATTTAATCACCCGCGCATGGCACCTAGCCAACAAGGAAAGATTGGCATGGCATATAAAAATCAAAAAAAAAAAAAAATGCGACAAACCCTTATGCGGTCGGGACTTTTTAGAACGTCAATCACAGGTACACCTCACCTCGTTCACGATCGGAAACTTGGCGGTACATAGAAACTCTTTCAACGCGTCCGGCGCGACTTGGAAGGCTTCCCAACTCGTTGCTAAACTCCAAAAGAATATTCTGGCCCCCCGGTCTTTCAATTTCCGTATGTATGTATGTATGGTGATCATGCTGCCGTGTGCTTGTCGGTCATGCTATAATGGCCGATTACACAGAAAGCTTGAAAACCAATACGACGACGGCCATGTTGGGAGGAATTCCTATGGGACTTTTTACCTTTGTCCGAATATAGATTCCGACCCTCGGACTTGGTTGCTTTCTCTTGCCTAGGCGCTGGGGTAAATTGACGTGCGTAACAGAAGGGCTAGGGTTCCTTTATCAGTCCGAAGATGGATGAGACAAATTGAAGAAGTCCGTCCATTTCATTTTGAAAACGCGATCGTGGTCGTTGAGAAGAAGAAGAAGAACACGGTTGCTTAAGGCGGTAGTCTTTGGCCAAAATCCTAATCGAGACAACACGATACCCTGAGCGGTAGGGGGCGCCACTGTCGAAGCAGAAAGGAAGTCGTTTCAAATCATTATGCGACCCTCTTTAGGGTACGCCTGCCTCGAACCCCGTATAAATTCTGGCGATTTAGTGTTGTCGATAACCCAAGCACCTCCCCCCAACCTTTTCGTACTCCAGTTCACTGTCACTCGTCTTTCGCCACTTACTTACCCCCATTCTCTTACACTTCCACGATGTCTTTGAAAACTGGAGTGAGTCTGTTTCCTCCTTTATGGAGGCACACATCACATTGCTGACCTACGCGTCGAAAGTCCACCTCGCAGAACACCCAACAATACGACGATAACACTAGGGTTCCCAGGAGGACGCCTATGGCCTGCCAGTTCTGTCGAGGTAGATACACACGGCCACTGTAAGCACTGGATCAAACGCTAATTTTTCCTTTTCTTCTCACCTAGGCCGCAAATTGAAATGCGATGGAAGCCGTCCGTCTTGCGCTAATTGTGAACGGCGCCAAATTGCCTGCACCTACCAGCCAGTGTGAGTCATTTGGACCCGCTATTCGGCAGCTATAATTAAACGATCGCTCTCTATAGCAATGCTGGTCAGTAGGGGGGGGGCGTATTTTTAGAGGAAAAACGTCATACACACACCCTGCTGGTCCTATCCTAAATTCCAGCTATTTCTTTTTTTTCTTGCTTGTTACATTATATAAAAGTAATATCAGTGCCACCATTTTTGTGTATTACTAGTAGGCCTCTTACCGAGATAATCCGACTGTTCATGTTGTATATCCTTCCTCCCCCCCCCCCCCCCCTACTATAAACTCTTTTTGCTACATAGATTTGAGACAAGGCGCCACTTATTTCATGAGAAACATGGAACGTCGAGAATTGGGCGAAGTCGCAACTAAAAAGTTAAACTTTAACAACGTGAGAAGTACAGGTACACACTCCGGGGGGTTCGGTCCTACAATATTATGTCCTCATCGATCAGATCTCGGACTCGTTCAAGCCGGGTGAGGGGGGAAGAAGGGGGGTGGGGGTGCCTTCGATGAGTAAGTATAGGACCGATCTCCGAACTTCTGCAGGTCTAGACACCGACTTGTCGCTCGGCTGCCTTTTGGTAAGAGTCAAGTTTTTACGAAGACGTTCGCCTTGCCTACAGAGTAACGCTGATTGCCTGTCGTCGTTCAACTTGCGGTGGAACGGAGTCAAAATGAAATCACTTGGCATATAAGAGGGAATAAGAGGGAGAGTTCCCTTTCGGTATAACTTTCCCACAACGAGATGTCCGACTGCTCGTACCTTACCGGTTTCTCTCCATCTTACCACCCCCGACTGGTCATCCAGCTTTTCCAGGTTGTCGGATTCGTCGTTAGACAGTAAATGTCTTTCGATTTGCAAAAGTACAGCGTGAGAGGATGCGATGGCCTCTATTACGTTCCGGATTTCGTGACGGTCAGCTGGGCTGTCGTTTTGAGGTTTGAAACATTGACGCGACGAGTCTTCAGGAAGAAGAAGAAAGTCATCTCGTGAGAAAGGCAAGTGCGAATACAGATGGAAAAAAAAAATTTTATGTACCATCCTAATGCCCCCCCTTGTCCAGATAAAGGAATCTCCACGACAAAAGTGGAAGCAGCTGGCGAACCGTCGGTTTGTCCTCGCCTATCACCTCATGTCCCCTCCCCCACCCATTTGGCGTAACCTCTGTCTGGTTGGTGTAGCTTACAGCTTCTTGGTCCGCCTTCATGATCTTGCTTGCTTCGCCCACGGCGTCTCACTCTATACAGGTGGAGAAATAACGCCGAAGAATATTCTGGTATCTCAACCATTACCCTCCTTTGTGAACAAGTTGTGAGTAGAACCAGCCGTGCGACTTTCAAGCTCTATGACGGCCGAAGCTCTTAGTCCAGATATCGTATCTCGCCTCAAAGATACCGGGGCATTCAAGTCTTCTCCCCACGGTGAACCAAACCATATCATCTTAAACGAGGTACGGCTGGACCAGGTCTTGCCTCCTTTACTCCATATAACACCTTTCAGTATTTACCGGGACAGGGAATCATGGTCAGTCATCTTTTTTTTTCGGCCGGCAAGTCATCGAGCTCATCTTCACAGCCTCATGAAGACGGGCCTGCGTATCACCCCATCGTCGCAACGATTTCGCTTGGTTCTCATGCGGTGTTCCATTATTATCGGTATACTCCCGAAAAGAACGGTATGACTAACGGCCGTGCAATTGATAACACTCCAGCACTTTCTGTTCTGCTAGAACCGCGAAGCGTGATTATCACGACGGAAGCGCTATATAAAGAGTACCTTCACGGGTGAGTCTGCCAAGAAAGCGCGCCTTGTGTGTTCATTTGCTCATTTTTGTGTGTGTCTGCAGGATCGAGGATATTGAAACTGATACTATTAGAGCGGCTGACACAACAACGCAGGAATCGGAGTTTACTGATACCAATACACCCGTGCAGAACTTCCATCTCCTGACAAGCGAGAAGGCGGTGAGGGCTGTCAGCGAAGGTGGATCGTTGCAGAGAGATGTGAGGTACAGTCTGACCTGTCGCGACGTAGAAAGGGTTCGAGATGGGTCTTTCATAAGAACCTGACCTTCATTTGCACCGGCGAATACAAAGCCTCTTGTGTTCCCTCCCACGGTGGTATGAAAGCCGGGCACTTGCGTGACTTAATGGATAACAAGAACGGACATTAATGAAGCGGTAGTGAAGTTAGATGTACATGAGGGGGACCATCCCACTGAGCCTAAATCAATGCGGCGACGACGACGACCGTCAGAATTCGTTGGCTACCCAGATCGCAAAGCACCACCAAACAGACGTACGTCCGCCTGGGTCTCGTAAGGGGTGCTCTTTGCATCAGCAACCTTGAGGCAGCAGAACGTCCCGTCACTTTCACTCCAGTGGAATATGCGCTTGATCCCAGCCCAATCACACCAATCGATGCTGAAACAGAGGGAGGGGGAGGGGGAGGGGGGAAGGGGCCGTTCACCGATGCGTTTGACCGTAAAAGACAAAGGAAGGGGGCTCACTCACCATCGCCAACAAGGCCTAGCACATCCCATCCCACTCTTCGTCGTCCGAACAACGTACAGATCCGCCCCAGTGATCTTTGAAAATCTACAACGCCGACTAGCAGGGCGGAGTAAATTCTCGACAGTGGGCCCGGGTCTTGCCCCCAAATGCTCCTTGGTTCCATAAAACACGCTGCGCCGCAGCAGTAGCTTCGGCGGCGTGACAATCCCCCCCTCCTGCTTGTCGTTTTCGTTTATGCGGTTGTGGGCACGGGTACGGTTGAACCTGCTGCTTGAACGGAGGAGACCTGCCACCAGTCAAGTTGTATATGGCGTGCATCTCCGCGTGCATCGACACGGGCTTCCCAAAGGCGGAATCGACGCTCAGCTCGTCATAGTGAACGCGCTGGTGATTGTAGCCCGTCGAAATGACCTTCCCGCCCTTGACGATGACGGATCCCAGCGTGAATGCCATCGGCGACTGGTTTTTCAAGTTCAGGCCTTTTCTTATGGAGCAAGATAGGCATAGTGCATACCTTCGACGCTGCTTCGATACACTGCGAAAGATAAAACTGAGACTTGGAATGCATGATAACAATCTTGACGGTCAAGAGCAGAGGCGGCGTAACAGATCAGACCATGTCACCGAGTCACAATACAACAGTCACAGAGTCATTCACATGAAAAAAAAATTGACTTGCTCAGAAAGACAGAACAAAGTAAATTACTTCCGAAGCGAAATAGAAAAGCAAAATTCCTCCACGTATATCTATCCAAAAAAACCATCAATTCCGAAAAAGAAAGTTATCCCGTCAAAATCTCCTTCGAGACTAATATTCGATTCGCCAGGGCAGTTAAATTCGCATCAGCGACCACCACCTCAGGTGCATATTCCACATCGAAGGTCTGCTTTATTGCCATGCAAATCCGTCTAGCCTGTCGTTCAGACCAAAAGATGAAATCATCCGGGTCCCGTTCTTCAGCTTCAGTCGGAATTGCAGGACTCTCTCCCTCAAGTGAGGATTTGCACGACAAAGGAATCAATGAAGGGTCAGAGTCGAGACACAGCGGGACTACACGCATCAGCGTCTCTCGGACCGACGGTAAATCTAAGCTCGATGGCTGGTCAACTAAAAATACAAGAACCTCAGCCAAAAGTGAACCAAGACAACGTGGACGGTTACCCACCGTAAATCTCAATAGGGCCATCAAAGTGCATGACATTGTATTTGCCATCATGATGGTAACGAATCTAAAGTGACCATGAAGGAGGTATGCGTAAACAATCTAAAAAATCCTCTCACCTCATATTGGCCGACCATCCATGGCAAAGTGTTGGCTTTGAACGTCACGGTTCCTGAATCACTCTGTGGACCAGGAGGTGAATCGAGAGGTACGTCGCCATCCCATTCTGCACCGTACACAGGCTCCCACATTCCGAGAGAAGATGTTTTCGTAACCAGCTGTGATTTGTTGGCGCCGACCTGCAAGGACATCAAAAGTCTGCAGCATACTTAAGAGTAATAAAGAATACGTACTCGGTATATTCCAATCCAGTCCTTACGGGAGTGAGTACGAGGCGCCTGCCACTGAACGGTGATAGGTTCCCCAAGGTGGAAGCTACGGGTACCTTCTTTGCTAGGGACGACTGTAGCATGATACTTTGCCGTATCGAAGGACGAAAGATCACTCGCAACACGCCTATAGGACGGGATATGCTCAGTAACATCAACGCCACTGGAGAAAAAGCGCCCCCACGTAATGACCATTTTTTCCCTAGACTGCTGCAACAAAACCTTTGTGTCTTGGACCACACCGGAAATCTTGGGTCGGGCTAAAGGTGGGTATCAGCAAGCGTGTGCGGCCTCGGGCAGGAAGAAAACAAACATTTTGCTAAGAATTCTTCTACAGCGTCCGCGGTCTCCTCGAACACCTTGTCAAAGGTGCCTTTCACCTCCTTCGCCACACGTTTCAGCTCTGGGGCATGGCGTCCAGCCCGGGACTCTAAAATGCGCGCGTTTTTGCTCGCTACGCTCTTGATCACCTTGACAAATCCGGCGTCTTTTCGTAGGGAATCACCATAGAGTTTTTGCATGTGAGGACTGGAGACAGCAAATCAGTAAGAAAACTACGCTACAGAAGCAAACATCCCACTTACTTCTCGACACAGCTAAGGAACCACCAGTAAGAAAGATGACGAATGACAGCAAGGGTGATCACTAGTTTACTCTCGCTAATGAGACCTAGACCAAACCACGCAGCACCCCCCATGAGTTCAGGATTATTGAGATATCTTTGAATGTTGCCCGTCAGCAGGACGGCATGCAAATGTACATACGCCACCGTACCTGTAGATTCCGGAGTACTCGACATGAGCAGGAAATTCTTCCATGAAGAAATCACCAAAAAACCATCCTGGATAAACAAGATTAGACAACTCTACGGGGAATGGAAGGGACCGGACCGACCAAACATTCCGAGGACCTCATACGATTCCAACGACGCCCAGATATGCAAAGCGACAAGAAGCTGAGAATAACGTTTATCAGCATGTACACCGGCTTTACAGAATGGAGCGACGCCTACAGCACCGAGCGTATGGCGGAGCAACTCGTTGCCGACCATCCAATCAGTAGGGAGACTATACGTCTTCCACACAAGGCCGATCAGAGAAACTGTGCGAATATATGAGATACTGATCTCCTTAAACATGGACCAAGTACTGACCGTATGTCATACACTGGCTCATATTATATACCGCCTTCCAGTTTGAAAAGGCCTCCAAAATGGGTCCGCTTCCACCGTCATGGTGCGGATAATGATAATTCTTCATATAGTGGCGGACCAGATACTTGCGTTCGCTCTGTGCACGTAGCAACAGGCCGAGGCCGAAGTAGTGGAACAAACACCAGCTCAGGGCATGTATGAAATGAAGTGCAATGGTGACTCTTGTAGATAAAGGTGGGATGAGCGCAAATCCAGAGGAGTATATGACGATTAGCAAAAGCATGACATCATTTGCCCTGTGAGACAGTCAGGCGCTACAGCTATGCAGAGAGCGACCGATAGTCTTCACCTAAACAAATCAAGGTTCTTGAAAATCATCGTGTCACGACGGAAGTACTTCGTCAAGAGATCATGGTTAGAAAAGGTCTTCTTTTTCTTAGGAAGGCCCTCGTGACTGCGTGTCGAAGATGTGCTCTCTGTAGAAGGTTCTGCTCTGTGTAAAGATCGTTTAATAGCCCCGACACCAACAACAGGAGTGCTTTCATCGTATTCCATCTCAGTCTCAGTTTCAAGATCTGTCTCCGTAGCAGTTTCACCTTCAGTTGCCGTCGGGGTCGAATAGTCTTCAGGCGGCACTTCAGGAAGAGACATAGACTCAACGGATACAGATTTCGATGACGAGGCCATTTTCGGACGGGTGTTGACTGGAATTCTTTTGGCTATGGCTTTCTTCTGCCCGTACATGCGCTCGATATCTAAGCGAAGCGTAAGAAGAGTCTTGAAACACAATCAGGCAGACTTACGAGGATTCTCGAACAGAACGAGGAAGGCAAATTGTGAAGCATGCGCCGCCAGACTAACAAATAGAACAGGGTAGCTGCCAACTATCAGGGACAAACCATAGTAGCCGATGTATCCTGTTCTTAAAGTCAAACACCACCTAAGAGCGAGTCACGGATACATACCGACAGAGTACATTGGGTGTGGAGCAAGCTCGAAGACGCCATCGAAAACCAACGCGCCGCGTTGGAAGAACACATCGCCCCAATACCAGCCGTAATCTTTGACGACGTTGTGGGCTTCCGTTTTGACCCAAAGATTGAACCAAATAAGAGCTATACCCACTAACCATCTAGACAAGGCGTCAGTTTGCTGCCCAAAATAGATAGAACTCACGCCGAGATGTTTGCCACCGGGATACCTCAAATTTGAGCCTAAGCGGGCGTACCAAGGCGGGCTTATTGGTAAAATATGACCACCTGCGGTGCTTCACTTGGCCTCATCTTCAGCGGTATCCACTACAGCAAACTTCCCAGTGTGACTGGTAGGCACCTCGTTACGTGTACGGGAATGGACAGATCCGTCGGCACACGAAAGCATGAGAACGCGAACATGCAGTATGCCAAAAAGTCGCTGCGAATGGGGTCAGCCATTGGTCGACAACTAGCGAAAAACGCGCACTTGATAAGAATAACATCCACGACTTGTCTAAAGAGCAACCATGTGTTGTATTCCACGGGTAGTTCCTGCTGACACAATGAGCAGATTATTTTGATGGATGCCAGTCACACGAACATCGAAGGAGTAATCCTTCCCCATTTTCCCAACGAGCTGAGCGCGAATCCAGTTCCGGACACGAGGGCAACGATTCTCGTCGAGCCAACCGAAGCGTTGTACCTCTTTGACCATCCATTTCTTCTTGCTTTGCTTTGTGAGAACCCAGCCGAGTCCGGCATCATACGCTGCGCGCCAAAAAGCAAAATACACGAGGAAAAACACCCTAGCCACACCCCGGGGAAGGACAAAAAACAGAACCAACTGGAAACCGAGTAGAGCGAGGTTCAGTATATCAAGATGGCTTTTTGGGTATGCCGGATGGAATAGGGCCGTCAAGACATCATGAGTGGTGGGTATACGAAATACTGACAATCGTCATTTAGGGTATACAGAAATTTCATACTCGCATACCTTTGCCACTCGGAGTCTTTCCCCATACCACTTCGTCGCGTCTCTTCGGAGAGCCAGAAAATTTCCTGTCGCTCTTTTCCGTCGTCTTTGCCGTGCTTCGCTGCCTCAGGAAGGACTGAGAGCCGGACATGGTGGTACGTGTCTGCGATAATATTTTTACAACGGGGCATTTCCGGCAATCACCAGATGGTGTAGCCAAATAGGGGCACATTTCACGAGCCTGTGTCCACGGCCGAATCAGACCGAAACAGCCGGCCCTCAAGAGATAAGCCTTTCCTGCGAAAAATTTCCGTACGTTTCTTCTAATCACTGTATATCTTAAAACAAAAAATCATTGACGGTCGTACGGAGTTTCGTTTCCTTTCGAACTAGTTCTCACCCATCTTATTCACTCCGCTCTCGACATATTTCCCATCGAGGGCAGAGTTGCTAATGATTGGGGATATAGACAATAGGCATTTATTTCGGTTGTTTCTTCTTATTCATTGGAATTGACCTTACGAGGTGCCTTAAAATACCACTAGTTATCGGAATCTTTGATAATAAATAATTTCTTTCCGTATTATCTACGTGACTACGTCTGATCCAAGATGGAGGTTATTGAAACGGTATGAGCCTTTCCCTGAGTTCTAGGACGTACCGATAATACGTCATCTGTGTTATTTTAGGTGAGCATTCCAGTGCATCATAATAGAGCCTTGTTCTCAGCAGCAGTTCTAACGTTGGGACAATATCGGGTTGGGCGGTGACTGCTAAAATTAGTAAAGCCACGTGATCACCTGCCTGCGCGCTTCAGCGTCCCGTCCAGCCTAAAGTTGTGCAGGCAATTGCTCCCTCACCTACTCTGGATTTGATCTCTTGTGAATAATTGCGGCCGTATTGCTGCCACCAAGCGTTGAACGATGTCTCCTAGTATCGCCTCTCAGGAGACGAAAGAGACAAGGAATCTGCGTGGGCGCGAAAATGATAGAACAAGGACCTACAAAAAGCCGGAGAAAAGAGGGTTTTTTGGATTTCGACATGGACAGAGGTTTGCGCGCGGAAAAAGTATGTTAATCGGCCTCTCACCAGAATATCCCTCTCACGATCCGGCTTACAGCATTCGATACTAAGGGCGACTACGAAAAGACATACCCAGAGGATCCAATATTCGAAGAAATGGCACCTTCTGCTAGGATATGGCAAGCATATCTGGACGAATGTCAAACATACGATGCAGAAATGGTTGAGGTTTGGAGGGATACAATCGATGTCCTGCTAGTTTTTGTGAGTCGCTTGCAGGAATACCCTTACTACGAGCTAAATGCCCTCATCCAAGGCTGGTTTATTCTCGGCCGTGGTAACAACATTTGTAGTGCAAACATTACAATCTTTGCAACTCGACTTCAATCAAGTATCGGCGTCTCTGCTATTCGAACTCGTCAGTGTTCAACGGGCCCTCGCTAATGGTACTTCTGTGGACGACGTCCCATCCTCCCAACTAACGCCCACCTCTTCCTTCAGTCCTTCATCTCTGATCGTTTGGACCAACGGACTCTGGTTCGTCAGCCTCTCACTCAGCTTGACCATCGCTCTCGTAGCAGTCTTGACCAAACAATGGATCCACCACTACATATCTGTACCATCCGGCACCCCTCGATACCGCAGCCGCATCCGTCATTTCCGTTACATGGGTCTGGAGAAATGGCATGTGCCAGTCATCGTTGGACTGCTTCCCCTGCTCATGCACTCGTCTTTAGCCCTCTTTTTCGCCGGCTTGGTTCTATTCTTGATAACCTTACATATTGGCATAGCCATCTCCGTCGGTGTTATCTCAGGCATCGGCTATACCCTCTACGTTGTTACCAACATCCTGTCCGTTCAAGACCCTCAATGTCCATACAGAACACCCCTCTCCGACTATGCATACGTAGCATCCAGTTATCTGTATCAGTCCATAATCCTTCCACTGTTCGATACCTCATCCTCAGCTTCGTCATTATTTTCCCATGTCACTCAGCACTCTGCGTCCTCGGCAGATTCACGCAGATGGTCACTGAACGATGTAGAACGCGAGATGCTAGATGAAAGAGCCAGTGACATTGATATCCAAGCTATCTCTTGGCTCTATTCTACGACTTTCAATCCAACTTTACACAGCATCATCATGCAATCAATCAGCGGTTTACCGATCGCATCCACTCAGAAAGCCCGCAAAGCTTTCACAGATATAGCTCTGAGTGAACAGTGGCAAGATACCTGGCGCGAACTACTGAGGGCATGTGTCATCGAATCCTCGGAGGAGGACAACACTGTAAAGCCTCGAGAAGACATGGCTCTACAGATGGACCGCCTACTGCGTGTCAACCTCCTGCTTGAGGAAGATCCTGCATGGGAATTGCAGCGCAGTTTTGATTATCAAGGACTGATATTGTCCGACTCGGATCCTCCAGAACTCGGTCCGACAGTGGTGGCCAATCGATTCAAAGTACCAAATTTGCCGTCAGCCATTCAAATTCTAAAGCAAGCTCTGCTCGGTTCGGATGAGGAGAAGAGTCTTTGTCTCCATCCAATCGTTTGGGCTGGTCTTTTGGATAGCTCCGTTAAGGATGGGTGTTTTGAGCCCCCAGCGCACAATACCTTCGATACCAAGCTGTGCGTTGCCTTCTTAGGTACAATTCCACACGAATATTTCCGTAACGACGAAGGCAAGATGGATGTCGTACGAGATGTCTACCGTGCAAGGCTGACGGATTCCATCTACCATTACCTCTATCCAAATGTCGGGCAGAATCTCCTCCGAATGTTTTCCGCATTCGATTCGCTCTCACATGAAGATGCGACACCGCCATGTCTTCGGTTACTACTTGCCATCCTCGCCTTTATGCTATCAGAATTGGGAGAAGGAGAAGATGACCGCAGACCCTTGTCGTCCGATAACAGAGAATTATTGGCTCTCACTGTCGCGTCCCTTCGTCACTACATCAAATTCTCACTAAAACTTTCTGCACTCGAGAAACAAGCGAGTCTCTCCATCATCACAGGAGTCATGGCTTGCAGCCACATTTTCTGTGACGCTGAGCTGCGGAACTCGAGAACATGTAAATCCATACTCGACATCTTCGACGTACTAGTGCACCCAAAGGACAGATTCCCTTCGGCAAATTTTGCCCGTCCCGTCTCATGGTGCTCCGAGCTCATTATTAAGAACCTCCTTCAAGCCACTTTTAATGAAGACTTCTGGGCTCGCTCCCACTCAGACACCGTACTTGACCAAGTGTATATGGCGAAACTTCGCATCTTGTGCTCGTGTTTCCGGCAGGGCATCTCTATAGCCTTCGAGGTATTTGAACGAGAAGGATGCCTCGCCAAATTTTACGAGCACAGGTTCGACTCGCGATTGGTCGAGCTAACCGTGTCATATGTGACTGGATTGTCATCTCTTTCCCCTCATCACGCAGAATACGCACATCAACCAGAGAACCTTCTCGCTTTGGTCACAATCTTGGCATTGGGAAGGAAAGGGATCGCTTTGATCACCCTGGCACGGATGCGTCCTGAACATCCTGCATGGTCCGAATGTCTAGCCAAGATACGTGAAGATTTTACAGCCATCTCGATCGGTGTGTTAGATGAAAATGGAGATGACAATTTCCAGTGGGGTATCGTGCAGCTCGAACAGTTCTTCTCGTCGCATCTGAAAGTCGACTGAGGTGTCCTTCGGTCTCTGATGCATAACTCTCTGTTCTGGCGATCTGACCACGATAGGAGTGGCTTTCACTCCCCTGGACTTCCGCCTGTTAATTGGCACCACATATTCCGACTACTGGAGAAAGACCCAACACTTAAGGAGCAACCTTGCCTTCGAGCGGCGTATGGATAAATTCTCATTGGCCTTTTGTTTCATCATAGGATTGACACTCAAATTGTAAGGTAAAGGCACTCTATGTTTCGTTATGGTCATCTCGGTACATGCAATGTTTGCTAGATTATATAGATTACAGACGGCCACGCGCTGAATGGAATTAATCGATCAACTATTCGAACTTTGCAATGATGCAGGACACGTACTTGAGAAGGCCGACAAACACAACTAATGCTGCTGAGAAAAATGGTACCCAGCTGTACGAGTCTTCAGTAAATATCATAGGTACGACCCCAAGTGTCACTCACGTAGACATATTGTATTTCCCGGCACTAAACAATCCAAATAGGACCAGCGACATGATCGTTGCCTCGAACACAGCACCAACGACACTCATCACCAAGAATGCCAGGAATATAATCAGCGCAAAAGTGACCCTCGACCGCCTCTCGTTCATCTTCCTCGGCATCGGCCGCAGCCTCAGAAACAGCAATGGGTATTCCTCGGACGATGAAAAGGGTTCGTAGGTACGCTTTGGAGGAAACGAGACGTTCAAAAAGACGAGGGCGCCGCAGGAAACGAATATGGGGGTATAGAAAACGAGAGTCCAGTAAAATGTGAAGCGGAATATGTCATCATATTGGTATAGGTATGTGGCCCCGGGCTGCCTGGGAGGACTGTGCGCAATGGAGAAGAATTCGAGGTTGGGATTGTACAGCGACGGCCACCCAGGTCCCTCGCCCATGGGAGAGGTGTGACCGTGACGTCACGATGCCTGTGAAGTTCGTGCATTCAAAGGCTTCTGGACCAAACACTGACAATTAGATTTAAGATGGCGTCCACTTGATCGATTTCGTATTTCCCCAGCCCCCTTCAATGTCGGTTCTTACTCTTTTCACGCGGGACGATGGGATCAGTTTAGATTCATTGTGCCGCATTACAGATAATTTCTGGAATATTTTGTATTGTGGTATCTTCGTGGGATCAACTTTAGGAGCAATCTTTGCCCTCGCCCGCACCGTTTTGCTCGGCTCCTTGATCCCCTTATGCGGTCTGTTGTACAGGCGAGTCATCGATGACTATCCTCCACACCGCCGATGCTACAAAGAACATCTTCTCATCATCATCGACTTTTGCTGTTGCGTCTGCATTCTCCATCCTCTACGACGTCTCCGTGTCTGGTGCTCACACATTTATCCAAGATCTCGGAAGCGTATGAAGGTGAATGTACCCGCAGATTCCATCCTTCCCCAAGAACTGTGCGAGATCATCATCAGTCTCTGTCGCTCTGACCGAAAGACCCTCCTCACTTGCAGCCTCGTCTGCAGGGCATGGGTCCCAATCAGTCGGAGCCTTTTGTGGACACATATCCACTCCAGCGACCGTGTACGATATTTCGTCAAGCTCTTGCAGTCGCCAGAAAACACCATATCGCCGCATATCCAGACAGTTTGCCTTCAGATGTACACAAAGTGCGACCCAATGATTCGATACCAGCACGCTCTCCGTGCTCTTTCAAATGCCAATGCTATGCCAAAGCGAGCAATAATTGCCGGACAGTCATTGACTCCGGTGATGGCACTATACCGCCATTTCCCGGATATTCAGCGGCTCTCGTTTAATTATGGGAGTCTTGGAGATGGCGAAGAGACATCCGCTGCCGACTTCAGGCGCCTGCTCTGGTATTCGAGCCTGTTCTACCAACTTGAACGACTTTCGATAAAATTCTTCCGCCCGGGGGGCACTGAGGATATCCCGCTCTCGTTGAGGGAATGCAAACTTCCCATGCGGTTACGTTGGATCTCGTTGAAATGCTGGAATCGGGATCTCTTGCATTGGCTTAGGGGACTCCCCCAGACACGTGAGTTGATGGCTTTCAAGCTGAAGTTTGGAGGTCACTGGCGCACGTTGGATCCCAAACCAATCAATGATATCCTGCGCGTAGGCCATAGAAGTCTTCGCTTCGTTGCTTTGACTATTGTGGAGTGGGATAATGGTGCGAACATCATTCTTTAATGATATCAACCAGAATTCATCTTTTTCAGGTTTTCCTGATCTGAGTTGCTTGATAGAACTTCGGACGGCCGTGTTCTACGTTTACCATTTCCCTTCGGCCATGGAAACAATAGCTTCGTTGAAATCGAGTCATATCGAAACCGTCACCATCATAACAAAAGACAACGAAAGCATGATAGGTGACTATCTGGATAATTTCATGACTGGAATAGGCTTCGCTTTCTTGTATGGGGGATCTACCTCGCGACGATACGTTCCATCTACGGTCCGGAGTGATTCTTGATTTTGGATTCATCCATTATGTTGGTTACAATCTCAAATGCTCTGATGCATCAGCATCACCTGTTTACGCTGGAATTTCGATCAGACAACCGTAGATAAACTCGGCCTGTCATTAAATGTGAGAAGACCCCGCGAGGTCCAATCATCTGTCGTTATCCCTTCGGATATGCAAGTGTATGTCCCCTATATCATGCATAACCTTGTGGCTGTGAGAGTTGAGCTGAATGTCAATGAATGGTAGCTGCAAAGATGAGTAGAGATACTGGCCAAGTAAAGCTACCAGCTACTGAATGTTGAATGAAAGATGGTTTGAAGAAATCAGACATGTGGTAGTTGAGCCTTTGCATCTGGGAGTCGATATCCGAGGATGATAGTCTCTATTCGATGAGCGCCTACCTAACCATCAACTGTAAGATAGACTGTCCCACACAGTAAAAGAAGAGCTTTATGTCCAGCTCCCGAAGCACGGCATGAATGATGTAGAAGCTCTGTGCACATCGCTGTCAGTTACTGGCTTTCACTAAGAATGATCATGATTCCAGTCAATTATGTTTTTGGACACGGTGGTTTGGAACCGAAAGTGCGATTTGGTGGAACTTGAATGGCCGAATACGCTCACGTTACCATTGGTCCTGAGATAGATCATGATGATCATTTGTCTGGGCTTGTTCATTGCTACACGATCAGGATTTGATTTAATATCACTTATTCAACGTATTCTACTGGTTCTCTCATCAGCTCAGGCACCTGGTAGCAACTTATAATCAGTGATCTCACGCTTTAATGACTCCCTGAAACAACCACTCATTACTCCCATATGATTGCAGGCGCAGTGCGTTTCAGCTGCTGCAAATGGATCTAAATTCTGCGACATAGTGCTGTACTCTCGATATCTTCCTATGATTCTTAGATTCTTATCCATATCAACGACACACATTGTGTCGAACACAGGTTCAAAGATCACAATAAATAGTTATGTAGGGATGTGTTAAACAATCAAGCCGTCGTTACTGGGGCTTCTAAATCAATGATACCCCGCATTGGGAATGTATTTGGGGAAGAATGCTCGGTCGAATATGAGTCTATGGATCCGGAGCGCCGTGTGGGCCCGCTAGCTGCTCGCCAGGGGAGGTCGGTTTGACGAGAACTTTTCTCGGTATTGCCGCTACCGCTTCGCTCAAAAGTAGAGGCGATTATGTCGGGAGAAGCTGCCTTCTGTAGATTCAGAAGCATGCGGGTCGTAAGAACGCCTACTGCGGCGTGGAAAGGGCTATGGAAGTATTATGGATACAGCTTGAACTAAAAGAAGGAAAGAGCGCACCCGTAACTGAACCACGGTATCTTGGTCACACCCTAATGAAGTGCATCAGGTACTTAGTTACGGTCTCGAAGAGATGGAAGACGTACGACAACCATAAGATTGTTAAATACCAAGATACATGATATTCTGTTAAAAAGTTGGATTAGAAGGCGAGGGAAATGATAGACGTAGAACCTACGCAAAAAAGTACAAGATATTGTCACGAAGCAGAAGAGAATAGAGGGACACACGACGTCCCTTCTGAATCCTGCCTGCCGTTGATTCTAATGTCTTAAAAAGCGCAAAACCGAAAAGGACGCCTTCATATGCGGTTGCTTGGGAAGATTTAGCAGGTAGTCCCCTAATTCATTGAAACAGCTGAGCTACTCACCGGGTACCCATTGAGCCCATTCAATCCCAGTGTGAATGACCGGACACCCCGGAAGAGGCAGATGGATCGCATAAGCAATTACGGCTCTTCGTCTAACGGCATTATGAATCAAAATCCATGAAAATCCAGCAATAGAACCCGCAAATAGCACGGCATTAATTACGGCGACCTAGAAAAAGGCGGTTCACAATCGAATTCAGGTAATCCGAGGAAAATACCTTTTTGGAGCATTTGAATAGGGCATAGACGCGCAGCTGCATGATAATTTCGACGGACCATAGGCTTATTGCACCGACTACCCGGATGATTGAGTCCATGGCTACGCATCTGCTCAACGTTGATGACAACGCAGTAGACATTTGGGGAATAAATGAACTTACAGGTTATCGGATGTTATTCCAGGTATAGAGAAGACATGAATCTGTACAGTGTCGAAGAGGAGTAGCGCTATGCTGTAGTACCGAACCTGAAAACGCGTCAAAGGTAATCGTATATATAATAAGAGAAGCCTGCGCACCCATAAGAACATAATTTTTCCTATGTTTCGATTCTGTGGCTGTTGAAATAAAGTAAACTTCGTGTCATCCTGAACACTGTACATCATATTCACCCAGATATAACGTATCTAGCGATCCCATATCAAATACAGTTGCCCAGAGGACGAGAAACTACTCACCTCATCTTCCAGCGTCACAACTTCAACAACATCAGAGAGGATAATTCACAGTTAGGGATGAAGTACTTGCAGTAGTCGTGTACTATCCAAGTCAAGCCAACGACTGCAAAATTATTACTCCTGAAAGGCAGAGATAGAGGCGGAAACTCACGGACAGCATGCAAAGGAATTAAGTTGCCTCGGTAAAGGGCGGCGAACGGGCTGCTTTCTGTTTCGCTGGACATCACAAGAAGTCTGAGCTAATTTCCCAAGATGTCCTTTCTTATATAGCACTTCCCACACTGGTAGCGCGAACTTCACGGATGCGATGTCCGGCCAATCCCATACGAACTAGCTTGCCCGAAAATAATTGGATGGGAATAGTGTGCCTTTATCGGGTCCGACTCCTTACATGTATCGAAATGACTCGTTGGGATTTGACAGGGTAGTCAGGTCCTCGGGAAGTAGTGGAGCATGATATTGGCATCAGATCTTGTAAGGGTTTCAAATAAGATGAGCCAATCAGCACGGAGCATGCTTGCTGTGAGTCGATGTCCCTCAGTTTTCCCAGCGCTTGGTTTGAAGCCCTTTTGGACAATAGAATGTAAGCTTGATGCGGGCTGTAAAACGAACTCTTCAGGCCGCGTCACCGGGATGATGATGCTGTTGCTGCCGGCATTTGCCATCAGCCCCAGCGTTATTCACTCATAGCCTCCGGTATTGACCACTTTACACTTGCTTTATACCTCCTGCTGCCATGATCATTACCAGTGATAACTCGAATACCTTGTGTGGTAAGTGATCTTTGTCGGATATACGTCCGAGATTGGTTTTTTTCGCTTACCCAGACAGAGTCAGTGGTGATGGCCGTCGAGAGATTGCTCGAGAACTGCCTCCTTGAAAGGCTCTATGCGTGACAGCGACATGGAAAGCGTTGCTGAGCCTCACACCGATATTAAGTAGCCTCATGGCTCTGCAGGTTGCAGGATTTGAGGCAGGATCAATCTTGAATCCTGTCCGGGCGATCCTCCGGACAGCGGAGAGCGTTAGAATTATCTGCTACATCACGTACAGATGTTCCTCCGCTAGGAGGGTCTGCAGGTTCAAGAGTACTCTGCACATGGTGTCATTCGGTAAATCATCGGGCATTTGAACTTCGCATGCACCTGACTGAGGCTCTGGCACTTATAAGGCCGACAACGAGCTATCGCATTCGTAAAACGTTTTCAATGTTTCTCCCAACGGCCTTGGTTCTTGTTTCCCTGGTTCTATCGACAACCGTCATGTCCTTGAAAATCGAGAACACTGACCCCCAAATCTACTTCCATGGCCGATGGGATACTTCGCCAGGCACTTGGTGGTGAGAGCGTAACGCGCTCAACTTGACATTAGTGTCGTCACATCGTCGTCTTATACAGGGCCGGCACAGGATTCAAATTGCATGTACAAAATCTACACTCGCTGGCTCTGGATCTGGGTCCTCACACTACGTCGCCGTTGACGTCCATTGCAGTATCGGTCGACTATAATAATTTTACGACTGTAAACGTCTCATCGGGAACGAATGTCATTCCTGTGAGATCCCCGTCCCGAACTAGCGTCGTTCGCATCAACGTCGAGGGTTGGCAGAATAATCGGATGAATCTTGAAAGCCTGGCGTTGAATTCAGTGGGCTTCTAAACGTGACACTGCTCTGAGAATAACAGCCGATGATAGATAACCAACAGGGTGCAAGCCTGCTGTCATACAAGCCCTCAGAGCTTGCATTCTTATTCATAGGCGACTCACTGTCTGCAGTAAGAGTCCCTACTAGTAAAACTTATTTTGATCTGAACTCGTATAGGGGCAATATATTCCTATGGGGGTAGACCAGGCGTGGACTTTTATTGTCGGAGAACGCTTCAAGGCAGAACACACAGTCATCGCCCAGCCGGGAATCACTCTGACGGTGAGTTTTCCTGTTTGGTATTCGGTGGTGAAGGCCGACACCACCAAAGGATGTACCATCCTACGGCAATGTACATGGAATGTCTTTCCAGTTCTTCAAGGTAATCAACAAAGTGAAGTGATTATTGACCAGTCGCTCATAAATCTCATAAAAGACAGAAGATACTGGATACTATTACACTACCGACCACAACTACACGACGCCATGGGATTTCTCTCGCGATAAGCCAACTCCTACGCACATAGTAATCCATATAGGGTAAATTGATTGTCCGGGGTCGTGCTAAATGTTTAAGCTATGCTATCTAGGGCAAATGACGCCTCTCATCCGGTCTCTGGGGATGAATTTGTCCAGGTGAGTATGCGGTATCCAAATAGATACCAAGAGGTTTATGCCCATTCCAGGTATACCTCGACTTCATACGCCGCCTCCGTCGGATTTATGACAGACAACCAATCTTCGTCTTCACACCCGTACGCGACCTTTCAGTCAACTGACCGATCATTCAACCATGATTTCAGTGGGGCTGGCCGGCTGCAGATGGCGAAATCAGCTATTATTACGACGGAAGGTATGAACAGATAGTGGTCATGAGGTACTGACATCTCGTGGCATTTCATTCGCTTGCTCACCATTGTACTTTATACAGCAACGATAAAAATATCTTCCTCGTCAATGCGACAGGTTGGGTCTCGTGGGATGATGTGTTCCCGGAGTATATTTTCACTGCACTCCTCCTAGTACCCATTGCCGACTGACTGACATTACAGCAACCTACATCCAACCGTTGCCGGTCATCAGAAGATTGCCGGCGAATTTATGAATTGGCTGGAAAACCGGGGCTTAAAGCCAGAGTCCCAGTGGGCTACGCCTGTATTAGCTTGAAATTTATGTAGTAAATCTAAAGGTGAGGCCCCGATTACCTCTCTCCTCCGCTCTATCGTTTTTTTCCGCTTTCTCGTCCTCACTCAGTCTGGCATAGAGTGTTGCGTTTCGTGCGTTTCTACGACAATAGTAGTATTTCTGTACGAACCAGAGGATTAATGCAACACTTGCGAAGCAAATGTTGATTGTATTTCCCCGTTTATAATCTTGGTGGAGAAATCAGTGCCTGTGAGTCAGTACGGAACACACCAAGCGCTTACCTGGCGAATCGTCGGTCTGGTAGATGCGTTCCCACTGCCGTACAGAGTTTTTGCGGACGTTCCACCCATCCCTATAATCCACAACCATCAGCGAAAACCTGGCTTTCCTCTCGTTCCCTCTTCCGCCTACTGCTAGACAGTCGGAATTACAGCAATTCGCCGCGCGTCTCGTTGCGATCTGCAAAGTTTAGCTCGGAGGAAGGTTGGGGTGTTGGTGAGGAGCGTCTGCGCAAACAGATTGCCGGGATGCGAAGTAAGATTGCGTATCTGACGGCCCAGCTGGACTTGACCTGGGCGTTGGGGTTCGGTCAGATTACGTCGTCGACTGGTGGGAGGTCAGTGGAGAGTGGGACTGTTTCGGTGTATTCTCGTGCGCCATAGGTTGTCAACGCAATTTCGTAGGGATTAAATTTTGTATGTATCATATGCCATACTGCGTACTACACATAATATTAGAGAACAGGAGCATCGGTTACTATACATATAAAGCAAACGGAAAAACACTGAGAACATATACTCTCTCACAAGACCTGCTCATGGAGGAGAGGTAGCAGATTTCTGCCTCTGAAGGACAATAGTAAGGAACGTCTCTATCGTGTTCCAATAATGCGGTTCGGCCGCGTTAGGTTCTGTATCCAGATCATCAGCCTATACTCTGGATCTCTTACCATGTCCAGCGTAACGGAGAGACTTGAATATATCCAAATCGCGGGGTGAACGTAGTTCCCACAATTTCTTCATATGCACTTTGGGAACAACAGGGTCCATCTGTCCGCTGAGCATGAGGAGCGGCAGCGTCCCTGGTATGGACGAAATCTTGGACTTGGAATCCCATTTCTGGTGGACGATAAAAGCAAATGGCGGAGGACGCTCCACCCCCCGACGATGGTGAGTATGGATAAGAGCGTGTTCTCCACTATGAGGGAGAATACCTGTTGTACGAGTTTAGTTGGAGGGAGGGACAGAGCTTTGGCCATGTAACTTGGTGAGAGTTCGGCTGACGAGGTCGATGGCTACGGCCCCGCCTAATGAGTGGCCGCATACAATATTTTTTACAGTACCCAGTAAGCATGAATGCTATGTCCGCAAGTGAAAGACGCGTACAATGGGCACCTGGGAGAGTTGCTGATCAGCCAACGCATACTCAAGCACAGCCTGTGCATCCTCTCTCAGACCGGACCGAGATAATCATCTTCAGTCAATGTAGACGGAAATGGGGAAAGTTTCACCTTTCTCAGAAGGAGAGTCATCGGAAGTTCCGTATCTTTAAAGAATGAAGACGGGACACCTAGAAAAAGAAAAATGATATTTACCCTCGGTAAGAAACCAGAAGAACGTTACAGCGTCTCGCGTAGAATTCCTTAGCGAGTTATATACTGTCCCACAGATGGTAGGCATTTCTATGAAAGAGAATGACCGTAGCGAGGGGAGACTGAGTAGTTGAAGGTAAGCAAGGTTCCCGAACATGGAAAAAAACAGGAATGTTCGGCATTCTTGGCATGAGACCGAGATAAACCGAGTAGTCGGCAACTAATTTGATAGCAGGATAATATTATTTCAACTGCCGGCCAGGTTGCCGTGACTCATTTTATCAAGGAAAAGGGAAGATAAGAATATTGGATGTTGAGGCATCGCATTCAGATGAAACCATCATTTTACTATGTAAAGTAAGTTGGTATTCTGTTTAATATCAGGATCTCCCACCTGATTTTAGCCGCACCGCCCTCTTGTGACAAATTGAAATATGATTTACACCATGTGACCGCGTGTTTCTGAAAGTTTAACCTTGTCACTACCACCATTGTTCTATGCAACTGACCTTAAAATCATGAGTCCTAGGGAAAAGACCTTCTACCATCCCCATGGCCTGATGTGTAACAGCACATTTGACCTTGTCAGTGCCACTGAAGACTCTTGACTTGGAATCTATCAACAAGATGTGAAGCCAGTTGCCAGCAGTTTAGAAAAGAATGTCCCTGATATGTTGGGTGTTCTTCATGTGATGTTCAACAGTTCCAGAAATGTGGTTGACAACATGAAGGACAAAGGCTCAGAGTATAACTTTTCATGAGCACAAACAATGCATTGGCAGAAATTCAAGCCTAATGAGTACTATCTCAACAAGAGGACAGAAGCCATCTATAGAGTTATAACATCTACTAAGCACTATTCTTTTCCTACTGTTTTGTTCTCACTGATACCTATATTCAGAGAGTGAGGATCTTAAGGGAGAGGTGAGAGGCAAAACCACTATCTGCTGAGAGATGACTACACTGTCAACATATTATGGCTCAACAGCAACTACTCCACTGACAGTGATCCCTGCCAACCTGGTATCTCTCATGGACCCTGCACTACAACCTCCAGCATTCCCACTACAGTTAAGGCTGAGTCCAGCATATCTATTGTTTACTCCAACATCAAGTTCAGACCCATTGGTTTAACATTCATGTAAATCTATATGTGTTCTTCTTTTTACCTCAACCTCTGCCTTTTCTTAGTTACCCCTCAACTTCATAGATTATATCCATTGCATATGGTGCATATGGTCTTTCTTTCAGAATCTGGACAAGGGGTGCTCAAGGAACAGGAACGGAATAGAGGATAATCGATAGAGAGAGGCAACGATAGGCCTTGGGTTGATGATGGTCAAATGATTGTTTGACGTTGTTGTCCGAATTCTCTGACATATGTACCCGCAGGATGGCTGATCTGCAGCCTTACACATGTAACGACATGTTGAGTAGCAAATAAAGGTCAGTAGATTTATTTCAGCACCAAGTTTTACTATCAAATTGTTGTAAGTAGAGAGCAGAGTAATGTACAGAGGATTAGAATTAGCCTCTCGAGAGAGAGACATTCTACTTCAATACATTTTGTATTACTTCGAGATCTTTCTATGAAATACTAAATAAGTCCGGATCATGATCCAAGTCAGCTGCCGCTGACTGGCATCATATCTTCGAGTACATTCTCGTGCTCACTCAGGATTGCTATTCCAACACAAATGCTCAACCAAGACTTTATCTACCATCGTATTCGGGTAGTCAATAGTCAATCAGTTGTTCACAAAGTTTGCGGTGGATTCAACCACGACATATTTTCATAAATACACACTATGTAATACAGATACTCCGAAATGCATGCAAAAGACATCAATACATACATTATCTAGGAAGACAATCTATTCACACTTACTACCATTGTGCATCGTTCCCTCTGCTGCCACCCCACTACTACGAGGTCGCCGCAGCCGATGCCAATGCTTTTGTGGCGACTTCATCATGACCCGTAAACCCATCGGATGCTTCTCTTTATCCGGAGCTCGTCCCGGTGGACACCCACCCAGTCCAAAGTCTCCCACACAACCTCCTTCAATGAATTCCCTGAAGCCTGCAATAGTACAAGCATGCTCCATGAAATTCGGCCACTGAAAATGCTCAGAAATGGTGTCGAGCTTCTGCAGGCACTCAGGCCAAGCGGGATCATTTGCTGCACGAAGAAGGGTGAGACGACGGAGGCTGTCAGCTTTGTCCCAGGAAACAAGTACTGTACAAGCCCTGAAGAGGATGTCGGATTCAAATAAGTAGTCAGTGGACATTTGGGAGATCCCAGAGTTTGATGCCAGCCCGGTGATAAAGGCATCAAGGATTATCGGCAGATCAGGGAAGAATGCCGGATGAGGGAAGAATGCCGGATCAACTAGATTAGTGTCATGTAATATCTGGTCAAGAAGACGCCGTGAAACGACATGAGAAAAGACCTCCTCCATGATGGGGGGGAACTGGAAGAAAAAAGTAGCGAGTTCTGCTGTCAGTTTAAAGTGAGAGAGGTATGTGGGTTCATATGCAGTTATCCATGGATTATCCTGGAAAGCGATTCTGACAAAGTTGGAAGCCATGTATGGGGTGCACCAGTCCTCCGAATCGGGAAGAAATTGAGGTCGAGGAAACGTCGATTTGAGTACGCGAAGAAAAATCACCAACAAGATACTCTGATCTTCACTTCGCATCGAAGTGCTGCCACTGAAGTCCTCAGATGACACCAATGTATACAGCAGCTTTAGAACTGCGTAGCGATTGCAATCTAGTCTGAAAGAAGGCATCTTGTCGTACCCTGGATCATCATATAGCCGGGATGAACCAACACCCATATACACTCCAATGTTTCGAATAACCGTTTCAAAAGTATCAATGTAAGGATCGGCGATGGTCACCGTTTGCATAGAAGGAGAGCCAGCAATGGTCAAAAGTATGCATAGTCGAGGATCCTGAGGTGGGGGAAATTCGTCGGTGGGATCAGAATGGAAAACACTGTCCTTCACACCCCTGAAACGGCGCAATATGACATCGGCAACGTAGGGATACAGATACGTTTCAACAGCTGTCAGAAGATTAACCACGTCATGATCTCTGGAATGGTCAGTCAAACAAATCTTCAGTCCGTCCCTTGTCAGGAAAAGAGGAGGCAGGACATAGTTCGCATGCCAGTAGGATGAGGGAATTGCATGGAAGAACATTTGAAGGAGACCATCATGTACATCAAAGGGTGGCAATCTCTGGAGCAAATAGGCCCATACAATAGGCTGCAGATCCAGATCTTCATCTCTGGGAAAAGTCAACTGAGCTTTCACCAGTTGCACGACCTCTTTGGGACTTGAATTACCAAACGGGCTCCACAAAAGCTCCGCAGAGCCTGAGAGAAATTGCTTTCTTCGTTCTACAGACCACCGGTAGACTGCGCCGACGTCGAAACGGAGACTTGTGCGAAGAAGGCGATCGAGCACACTTTCTTGAGGACGATCCAGCATGCGTTCAATGAGGGTATTGCATATGTCTGAAATTCCCTTCGCATGTTGTTTTAGAGATTCCACTGACCTCAGCGGTAAAGCACTGGTTGATTGTACAACAATACTCTGTACACTAGGGTTGGAGGACATGCCGAACAACCAGGCCAAGGCATGTACATCGATGTCATCCACACAGGACTCCACAGCTACAAGCTCAACGTCTCGCAGCGAGTGGATGGCCTGAGGCTTCGACGATGGTGACCCACAACAGACCGAGGATATGAGGTGAGCGAGGTAGGCATAGAGAAGGAACACATAATGCGACAATGGCGTCTTGTACGGGCATGAAGCGTACCAAATCGGAAGGAAATTCGTGATGAAATACGCAGCGAAGGACACAGAGGCGATGATCCCGACGACATATGCAATTGACACTTTCAGTGGGACTAAAAAAATAACCAGACCTAGAAAAAACACTCCAACTGACGCGCTCAACAGAACAGGTAACAACCCAATGATGAGACCCACACTCCACTGCTGGAGCCCCATGTACCGGAATTGACGTACACGGCACTTGTCCCGTGGTGTCCCCGACGGAACGGTGACATACTGGTGAATCCATTGTTTTGTCAGGACAGCAAATAGTGCGGTTGTCAAACTGAATGAGAGACTGGTAAACCACAGTCCGTTGACTAACACATCAGACGTCGCGGGACTAAATGTCGAAAACGGAGTAAGGTCTGAACGGGGAACGTCGTTCATGGAGGAGCCATTGGCCGCCGCACGCTGGACGTCGATGAGCTCGTACACAAGTGTCGCCGTGACTTGACCGTAGTCGACTTGAAGGCTCTGCGATGTCTGAGCAACGAACGTAGTGACCACGGCGGAGAATAGACCAGCCTTTCATTCAGTCGTCAACAAAGGAATATTCGAATTGCAGTATTCGCACTCACGAAAACCAGGAAAACATCTAGTCCATCCCTCCATTCATCCAACATCTCCTTGTCAAACGCATCACACTCTTCAAGGTATGTACGCCATACTCTAGCAAGCGGACCCAGTTCCTCGTGCCGTTTATCTTCCGGAAATTTTTGTTCATAGTCGGACGGGTCATTCCCTTCACTCTCAGTGAGATATGCAGCAAGTAAAAAGAACAGGGTAACGCACCTCCGACCTTGAATTCACGTTGCTGCAGCCCAAATACACTGCGAGCTGCCTTTTTCTGTCGCTGAGGGGGATTAGCCGTTGGTCCAGGCTGGAGAACGCGCTCAGAGTCATCAGAGTCATCAGGTGTCCCTTGGGCATTCTTGGGCGGAATCCCTGGGTTTTTGCCATCTCCATCCTCTGCAGCATGGACGGAGGACATCGGTGTTGAGTGGAGCAGAAAAGGCGGTATCGTAAGCGACCATCCAGTGTTCGGTGATATCAGTATCAACAGACACCGTGAATGTTCGCGTTAGTCGCAAATACCGGCATCTAACCTAATCGAGTTGCCGTCTGGATCCTTGTACTAATGCAGTAAAAGCATTGTGCCGGCGGCACCTCTCTCATGACATCGCGTATTCCATCGGTACTACGTCCGACTTACATCAGTAAAATTAAATAAATTCCCGCAGGATGGCTGGACTAAAGATCTGATCAACGATACCGTGCTGGGTCCCCGTCAGAATGTTTCTCTGGTCATGCATTTTGCTCATGGGGTGCCCTCGCTCTGGGTTTCTGTACTTTGCCAAATGAACACGATGTTTTGGCGTTCCGCTTTGTCGCGCGTTAGTCGTCAGGTCACCATTCTTCTTCTCAAGTGTTGCAATGTTTGTCCTTCTCTCCAAGCCGAACCATTCCACATTCCCTTCTCAACGATAGATCGCCTGCGGAACGACCAAAGCCTTGTATTGACCATTAAATACACATCTATGGTTGTGGGACTTACGATGTACCGGCGCTATTCAGGTGTACTATTCACGGGGACAACCATGCGTTGTACTAGGTGCGTGACCGCCTTTATTTTGCTGCTCGATATTGCGCTTATTCTACACTTGTAGCTCGGGACCCCCAGCTATCTTCCAGCGGCCCATCGCCACATCCAGCTTACTATCCACAATTCCCAGGGGTGCCACTCATACTAGAATGGAAGGACTCGTGGATACTCTTCAAGACAAACTAACCATAGCTGCCAACGTTGAGCAAAGAACGGATAATAGCACAACTCGGTTCTTAGCGCTGAGAGACATACAACATCAACGACCCAAATACTCTCAGCTCGATCCTCTACAGGATAACATAGGTATATGCTTCTTCCCCACGCCCGGGCCCGAGGCACATGATGACATTCTCGGTTTCCTCACAGTTTTCCAGCTCGTCGACATAGAGTCGTCACAATGGTCGCATGAAAGTAGGGACGTGTTGATGTACGGTGTTACAGAGGTAGATGCCATGGCATATGGCATCTCGTGCACATATACTAACTATAATTCAGTCCGGAAACACCGTTTTGGCAACCGTAACCGGTTCTAGACCATACTTTTACCCGTATCCAAAAAAATTACAGCTACGCGACAATACTGTAGCTACTGCATATATCGATCCACATACGGACATTGCGACATGCTTTTTGGCCGACCGTCAGGTTAGTTCCCTATAACATACCTTACCCCAATCATCATCTACAACATTGCATTCGCACAGCTACCAGGCATGGGAGGCTGGATTGAATGTCCTGCTGAGACTTATGCGCTCACGGAAACAAGCGATCAAGTCTCAAGATGCCAGATCGAGCTGACCATCCCGTGCGTTGGTCGAGCATGAACCGCAACTTCAATCTCTCATCATTTTCAACAGTCATAACGCGTTGAACGCGTCCGATTCGAGAATCCCGGACGCTCCGCTTAGGATTCTGTACTTTGATATCGAATCCATGACACGAGAAGATCCCAAGAAACCAGGGAAATTCATTTCCGAGTCTTTACAGGATCCCGTCATACAGATATCCAATGTAGTTTCGCACCTAGGCAAGTTTACTTTTTCTCCCGATTTGCTTAGTCTCAATTGATGGGACTTCGAAAGGGACCAAGGACCCGTTCTTGCGTGTCATTTTTACTGTCGGTTCGTGCGATCCCATCGAGGGAGCTTATGTTCGATCGTATACCTCAGAGAGAGAGATGCTAGCTGCCTGGCAGGAATTCATCCATGATATAGATCCAGATGTCATGACCGGCTGGAATATCTTAAATTTCGACCTAGATTACCTGATCACTCGGGGCCGTCAACTGGGTTTTGACCTGATACTGGGACGGTTGAAAGCCGGTACTGTTACCATCTCTGTCATCGGTTCTTCTTCTAATGTATTTCTTTAGGCCCTCCGACCTCCTCGGAACCTCAAACATGGTATAGCTTAAAATATAAAGACTGGATGGGCCGAACGGTTGCCATTCCAGGCAGAGTAGTGCTTGATATGTTCCGCCACTTTGCTTGCAATCATGATAAGTTCCGTCTCCGGAGTTATAAGCTCAGAAACGTCGCTGCCAGGTTGCTACGCGAGCCCGGGATGCTGAAAGGGGATGTTGCATACAGCGATATACCGAAGCTACAAGCTGGCCCAGATGCTAACTCCTCTACTCGACGAGAACTGGCAGTGTACTGTCTTCAGGTGCGTATTTGATATACAATACTTGGACTTTTCATCTGACAATCGGTTGAAGGATTCGTATATACCCCTCGTACTCCAACATAAATATCGCATTCTGGAAGAGTATATTGAGATGGGAAAGACAAAGCGCATGTTATTCCGTCATATGATGTATCGAAAGCGTCTTGTTGAAAAGCTCACAAAATCGACCTAGACACCCACAGACTATTTCATCATCGGACGTTCTGAAAGTGTTTACGCTCATATATCACGGATGAATACCACTATATATTAGCACTAGCAACGAATATCACCTATTCACGGTAGAAAGGCTATGCTAATGTCTTTAGGATGGAGAATTTTACGGTCTGTATGTCAGTTACTCTATCAGTCTTCACGAGTTATCTGGAGAGCCTTATCCACTTCACGTTCGACATGACTAATATTCGCTGCATGTGCTGGGAAACATCATTACATAGTTCATGCCCAGAGATCACTGACCGGTGCTTTCAAGGGTGAGGTAAAGGTGCTGTTCGGGCCGCAATATGTGAAGAAGTCTGGTGAGCTCAATCTGCCCAAGATCGACCTACATGGGTTCAAATTCGATGATGGCGCAATAATAGGACCGATAGATTTGTTTAAACTTTCAGATGAGCTTACGTCACAGCGAAAAGGATGCGGAATATATATGAAACGGGAAGAATAAAATTCAGAAAAACTAAAGAAAGACAACCTTTATATCTAGCCCGTCAAGTGCATCACTTCATCGAATGAATATTATAACACCTTGCAATGGACCTCCAACCTATTCGTCAAATGTAAACGAGGGAACGCATTGCAGATGAACCGCTGCGTTATTTCCAGCAAATCCGCGTCAGGTTTCCTTGGGTACCATTCTACCACATAGCCAACCCAGATGCAAAGAGTGGTAGCCCCGAATCTTGGGGTCGTCATTGTAGAATCTAAGGATGTCCAAATGTCAACTGAGTGCTCAAGAAAACTACCATCAAGTTCCCCCGATGGTGTAAGAAGGATGTTTATTCGAGATACGTTGACGGGGCCATGTCCGTATTCCAGACAGTCGATAAACCATTTCACGTTGTAACTGCGTCATTGTCATTCCTGCATGCTTCCAAGGTCAGGAAGGGCACATGCAGCATCTCCAACTTGAGCCCCGGGACAAGTCTTGGATTGAGAGAATCGTGCCCTAGTTGACCTTGATCCTCTCTGAATCCATTCCCATCATACGATTCATATCCAAAACATCGGCGAAAGAAGTGTCAGGATGTTTGAGAGTTGGATAACACATCAGAAGCTCATACAGGTCCTCATACCGGTACAATTGAATGTTGAGCGTCAGTGAGCTGAGAGGATACGATAACAAGGCGCTGGGAACGTCGTTTTTGATGCTGAAGCACTGAATCCGATGTTCTATGGTGAGTCTTCGGACATTCGGAAGAGGATAACACTCTAGGAGTCGATCAAGACCGTATCTGTGTTCCATAGTGAAGGGTAGGGCCACAAATAGATCCTTCACCAGATGTGGAATATCCGGTGACATCGCACACAGGTTAAAGAAAGTTGAGACAGAACATTCTTTCTTAAGGTGGACAATACGGAAAAAATGGACTCTCGCTTGAGAACGTAGGGAGCATGATACGGGTAAAAAGTGCGCAAAGACTGCGACGGTCGTTGCTAAGGACGCACACTATGGCATCCGCGAGTCCTTGGGGGATGGCTATACATGGCTGAAGCTGAACGCTTATTAATCCGTAGTTATTCAGGACGAAATATAAACACTGCACACATCCGAGTCGCTCCAGCTCTGGCTTTGGATGAATTACAGTGAAAATGGTTAGAACCTGAAGTGCTCAAGGAACGGGAATGGAATAGAGGATAATTGATAGAGAGCGGCAACGATTGGGTTGATGATGGTCAAATGATTGCTTGACGTTGTTGTCCGAATTCTCTGACATATGTACCCGTAGGATGGCTGATCTGCAGCCTTACACGTGTAACGACACGTCGAGTAGCAAATAAAGGTCAGTAGATTTGATTCAGCACCAAGTTTTACTATCAAATGCTCGACCAAGACTTTATCTACCATCATATTCGGGTAGTCAATAGTCAATCAGTCATATGGCTCAGACCATTTCCCTATCGTCTGGACGGTAGACCCAGAGCTGATAGAGATCGAGAACATTACAGCAACATGCTTCAATTACAAGGCAGCAAAACCAGAGGAATTCAAGGAAGAATACCTAACCCAAATAGCTAAGTACCATGACACTGTCAAACGAATTGCTGATACTTCAAGAATACCATCTACAGAGGAATTAGACAATGCAGCAAATGCGATAATGGACGCAATGGAAGCAGCGGCAGAGGAGACAATACCCCGCAGAAAACCGAGCCCCAAGGCACGACCATGGTGGAACCCCCAACTAGACGAAGTGGCAGATAACATATCCC